AGATGAGATCACCGGCGCGGTGTCTCCATCTTGAAGGATGACGCTTGCAGCATCGCGATTCAACCTTGAGGTTGAGAGTCGAGGCCGAGGAACCCGCCGTCTTTCTTCGGGGACGAGGATATGCGATAGAGTAAATCCCCGCTGTTCCACTCCCGTTGAACCGTAAATTCGGCGCCAATATGTCCGCCCTTGCCTGACATAGCGGCGCGGGTCGCGGCATTATGCCCGGTGAAGTCGAGAGGACCTACGCTTCCCACAGTGGTAAATAGCGATGCGGACCGTAGCCCAACACCAAAGCATTGTTGGTAGCCTTCTCCCCATTCTGGCAGGAATAGAGAAAAGTGACTCCCCACTAGGATATAGGGTAGAAGGAGGCGTCGCGTTGTCCCGGTAAGCGGAGCTGACTGGAGTGTGACCTGCGGCTTGGCGGCAGCCTGATGCGAAGTTAGCGGAGGTGGGGCAGACCTCCAGCGCCCTTGAAAGGCTGGGAGCTAGTCGAGGACTGCTCTCGCCCCTACCCTTGGCAGACCTGCTCCTCCACCTACCACCTACCAGCGGCCCGAAGCCAGCCCGGCCAGGCTCGAGGTGTAAGGCTGCGCACTCAGCGGAGGAAGGTGGAGCAGGAGGCGAGGCGAGACCCACCCTTGGGTGATCCAACAAGGCCTTAGAGTCCTTGAAGGAGGTAGCTGCAGCAGCAGCCTCCCGTATGACCTGCTGGGCCCCTGGAAGGGTCGCTCCCAGAGCGGAAGGGAGGGCCAGCAAGGTCTGCTGCGTCGCTGCCGAAGTACCCGAAGGCGTCGACAGCCACAGCCTAGCGCATCCCCATGACTGCGCACATCACCGTCAGCGCCAGCAGACCTCAAAGAGTCGGCCAGCGAGGTGTGCCCTGAACTTCCGAGCTGGCCGAACAGCCACGACATGCGTGGCGTCGCCCAGCATGCCCTCCTCACACGCCTCCAGGGCCCGACCTCTGAATCGAGGGAGAGGTAGGCCTGCGTGGACCCACCACCCTGACCTGCTGCATAGCGTTCCGGTAGACCTCCTCGTAAGGTCGGTGCGTGTGCTGCAGAGGCGCCAGCGAGGGCAAGCGGTGGAGTGAGGCGCCCTTGCCGAGCAGCGGGCTGCTCGGAGGAAGCTGAGCCTCCCCAGAGGCGGCCGAAGTGAACCGCGCGCTCGTCAGCGATGGGAACAACGAACAGGGAGTCCTCCCCAAGTTGGTACCTCCGTACTAAGAATCCCGGCAAGTCGAACCGAACCGCGGGTACCAGACGAGAGGGCTCGACCCACGTCCTGAACCAGCGAAGGCAGAATCGAGGGCTGCGTCTGCGAGGGCTGCCGAGGGCAAGCGCCTCGCCTGGCAAAGCGGAACTCCAGCCGAGTCCGGCGGCCAACAGGCACCCGCGGCAGGGGTAGGCCCTCGGCAATTCTTTGCGGACCTCCCGCCAGAGGCGAGCAAAGCGGAAACCTCGTCATGCTCCTCTACCTCCCCAAGCTCCATTGACTCGGCGCCGAGCCGGAGTCAGAGGCTGGAGTCTCCTCCGAAGAGGACCCTAACCCGACCGGTGGGCGGCTGGCCTTCTAGGAAGCACAGAGGGAAGAGCAGACAGAAGCGCTCCCGCGTGGCGCCTGGAAGCGTGCAACGGACCCGGTCGAGGCGCTGGAGGCACACCAGGCAGAACTGGTGCCTCGGCTCTCATGGGGCGGGGAGGGCGCCCAGGGACGGGAACACCAGGAATACTCAGCGGTCCCTCGCCAGCTCCCCGAGAGGGACTGGGAGCACCTCCCCTCGGGGCAGCGAGGCATCTGGACCCGAAAGCCAGAGGCAGCGGGTCTACAGATGCCTCAAGGCTGAGGGATCGAGCGAGCCGGCGATCCCACCCCTGACTCTCCGCCCCGTCCGGAGTGGCGAGGAACTCCTGGCGGAGACCTCCAGCATGACTCCACGAACGAGGGACTTCACAGAGACCATATGCTGCTGAAACAATTTGTCCATTAGTGTCATATCAAAACCACCAGTACTAGCGGGAGAGGGTTTGGCTTGGGATTTTTCCCTTACGTGACTGTTTCTTAGTCTTAGGCGGGGGACCTGCGTCAGTTCCCCACCCGCCTCACGCATCTCTTTGTAAAATAAGCGTGTCCGCGCCCTCCGCTTTTTGGGCCGGGGGAAAACCCAAGACATATGGTACATGTGTCCGCATCATAGCCAGTCTTTTCTAGACAAGCGGCCTTGCTGGTCATGCCTGTCGTGGCCCGTGGAATACTCTGTCCACAGACCGAACAGGATGAAAAAGGCCTGAAAGCAAACCGCAAGCATGTAGCTAACGGCGGACCAGCAGCATATATACACGTAGAAAACATTGAAAATACGTGAAGGCTACCACGGAGGAAGTAATAGTTGGTTCAATACGCAATATTACGACCACATGGCACGCTAAACTTCCGCCATGGCAGAGCAACACGTCGTAAACCCGCGGGGAAAGTTCAGCGTAATATAATATAATACAAAGTCACAATTATGAAACAACCAACTGTAAAGCTTTGCTGTTGCTTTCCTTTTCATAGGCAAATAAAGACCATACATACAGGTGGTGTCTCAGACATAGTCGTTTTCTTTTGAAGAAAGTTCAGCACTGTACGGCTCATGAATTCTCTAACGACTGTTCATGGCAGTGACAGCAGAAGGAATGATGATACGGGTCTAGGAGCCTACCCAGTTGGTACGCATGCACAATGGGAGGTAACTCCGTGAGGTAGGGGCCGTATAATAAATAAAAGAGTTTATTTATTGTTCAATCTTTTTATTCAAAAAACATTGATACAACTGTCACAGGACATTTTTCAGCCGGAAAATGCATAATATGTACCCCAAGGAAGATCTCTCTGAAAAAGAACTAATGTGTGGGGTGGCATATCTGTGTTTGGGGCAACGCCCCTCTGTGTATTTGAAGGGAATATGAACAGTGATCGGTACACAGATGTTCTTGAGGGGACATTTACTTCCATCTGCTCACGTGTTCTATGGAAATATTTTGGATTTTCCAGCAGGACAACGACCCAAAACATCGTTCAAAGCATTCACGGGATGGTTTCGGACCCAAAATATTACATTATTAGATTGGCCAAGCTATAGCCCTGACCTAAATCAATAGAAAATGTTTGGGCACTTATGAAGGAAAGTGTCAATAAGAAAAATCTGACAAATATTGCTGAAATGAAAGAAGAGGTGGTCTGATATTGGGACAGCATGGACCACGACTTTCTAACTTCTTTGATCAGTAGTATGCCCTGCAAGATTGAAGCCTGCATGGCTGCCCATGGTGACTTGACAAAATACTAACTGTTCACCTGTCTTTGAATCTGGAGTTATGTTCTGCTAATATTCACATTTAATAATGTGAGTAATGAGTGAAAAATATATAAAAAATTACAATCTTTAAATTCTCAATAATTTCTGGTTGTACTGTACCCTAACATGGAACTTTGTCATGCCTCAGGGTCTATTTGTATTATATTCAAACCTTTGTAGATACGTCCAAGTCCCTCTGAAGTCCATCTGATCAGAACAGTTAAACACAACGACATATTTGCCGAGAGCCTTGCCCATGTCTTTAGTTGTCTCTGTCTTGCCAGTTCCAGCAGGTGACCCTGCAGAGACACCTCCCATAGACATCCCCAGAGCTTGGGCTAGTGTGATGTAACACCTGCAGTACCAAAAGAGCAGTATCAACACCCTCATCATTATTTCCTATCACAATATAATCTGGATCAATTTGTCATCTTACTTTCATCATGAGGCTGTTTTGAATGTCACAGTGCCACAAGTCAATGTCAAATTAAATGTTTCTTTCATTATTTAAACATATTACTCCAACACATTTCATCTCTGTGGGCTGGCTTGCATTTCATGACAATGACAAATGGACTGATAAAGTGAAAACAGACTTTAATGCTTATTTTAGTGGTTGCTTTGAAATCAATCTTAAAGAACTTTTGAAATTAAAAAAAGATAACAATGAAGACTTGCAGTTTGTCATGGGCACTTCTGCTTGGAATCCTAGATAAGTCCTCGGAAATTTTCACTAAACAGTACAATTTGAGAGATATGTTGTTACCTGTCAGTTAGAGGGGTAATGACCAGTCTATCAGTACAACCAAGGAACTCGTTTTGGTAGATGTTGTCTACATCAGTGATCTGTACAATACACTGGTCAGTCTCCTCCTTGAAGTAGAATCTTGCTTGTTTCAACCACTCAAAATCAGAAGGAGTCTTGATATGAAGTTTCACCTACAAATACAATATCCTCTTAGTTAAAAGGGCACAGAGTATCACATAGGTATCAGGGGTTTTGTGTCAGGCAAACTTTCTAATTAGACAATCAGTGTCAAAGTTGTTATATTCTCTGTAAGAGAACCACTCAGAGGTTTTCGTAAATCTGTGTTGAAAATGAACTTAAATTAGTATAGCCAAATGGAATTAATAAAGGCTCATTATAGAGACTGTTTTGGATACTATGTATGTGTTAAATGCCATGGCAACTACAAATTTGGTGTTCCCTTTCATATTGTTTCGAAATTCTTCTTTGAGAGGCATTTTAGAAGTTGTATAGATGAAGGAAAACCAAGTTCTATGGATAGTCAACTTCTTTATTTCAATGAGTCGTTTCGGTGTAGGTACTAACACCGCTATCAAGCAAGTGATGATGGACTTAATTGCCATGTCTCCATGTAGACAGCGGATAACTTCTTTGAGAGGCATTATCACTTGCTTGATAACGGTGTTAGTACCTACACTGAAACGTCACACTCATTGCAATAAAGAAGTTGACTATCCATAAAACTTGGTTTTTCTGTTTCGGAAATGTTTTAAACAGCAGACCTGTGACAAATCTTCACCAAGCAATCCAGGGACTGACAGACTTGTATTAATTCTGAAGTGAGAATTTACAACTGTAAGGCAGGTTACTAACCAGATCATCAAAGATGTCTCGTTGATGCACATGGATGGTAACAAGAGTCTCGTACTTGATTCTCTCCACCTTGGTCAAGTCATGAGTTGTCTGCTCAATGAGTTTATTCAGGAGGTCAAGGAACTTCTGATTGGTGGTTGGCATAATCTTCTTGTCTGATCTGGCCACTCTCAGAGCATCCTCTGCATCCCTGGTCCACAACATTTGGATACCCAATAAGCCCACCTACAGCAAGGAAACAGCAGTCATGTCTTATGTTTGTTGAGTAACACTGCATTCAGCAGAATTTACATATATATGTAATGGCAGCCTGACTAGGAAGTCTGGACAAGACAAACCAGTGATTGATGTTATGAGAAAAAATATACAATGCTGAAACACAATGACAAGAATACACCAAAGTCTACATGTTTAACTAGACCTGTGAAGGTCCGGGTTAGAATATTGATCTTCAGTAACACATGCTTGTCATAAGAGGAGACTAACGGGATCGGGTGGTCAGGCTCTCTGACTTGGTTGACATATGTCATCGGTTCCCAATTGCGCAGATCGATGCTCATGCTGTTGATCACTGGATTGTCTGGTCCAGACTCGATTATTTACAGACTGCCGCCATATAGCTGGAATATTGCTGAGTGCGGCGTAAAACTAAACACACTCACTCACATGTTTAACTACATGATCGTCTAAGATGTTTCGTTATAAGATTGCTGGGGACCAGTTGTCCATGTTGAATCATTTCAAATACATTAATACACTTTACTGATACAATGAAAGTAATTACTAAAATGTAGACAACAGACACAGATACATTGTTCATTGTAACCACAGTTTGCTATACCAATTTAAACTGAAATATAATGTCGAAAAGAAAATCAGGTTGCTATATCCGACAGTTTGTTATCAAGGTGGATACAACACACAGTGTGATGCATGAAAACTCAAACTAATCTTACCTTTTCATCAAACTAATAGTTTTGAGTCTCAATCAAGACTGATGATTTGTTACCTGAGCTGGGACTGAGTTAAGGAATCCAAGAAGTTCAAATTCCGGAGCGTTAATGGTCCTGAAAGCATCTCTGATAACACCATGAAGTGATTTCATCTGTTCCCTCAGCAAATCTCCTAGCCATATCTCAACATTTCCCTGGGCTATCACTTTTTTTTCAAGCTGAAAGTAATTGAAACCCAGTGGTTGTAGTCGTGAGCATCAGTATGTGCATTTTGGATACAATGTCATGTGCAAGCAAGTTAACTAGCCTGACCTGATCCAATTAGATTACCGTCTATAAGCCGAATTTTGAGGACCAAAAAAATATGTCTGTAGAAGGGGGTCGTCTTATCTATGAGATACAATTTCACGGGAAATACTTTTTAGCTCGCCAGTGCCCTGCCAGGATGATGTTACAGGTTACCGGTACATCTGCCAGTATGTTTGCCACGATTACAGCGTTTATGGTGTGAATGATGAATAAAATACATATTAACCTGTATGTTTTCATTATTTCAGCATATTATTACATATTAGTCATTATGACATTTATCGTACAATCGGGATGAATTCTGGCACAGTCATCAGTAAAATATAATACAGAATACTATTATTTAACCCACAGGAATATATCCTACCATTGTGTAATTTTAATTACAGTTTTTGCTCTATAAATTAATTAAGAATAAGTTTACCGCGTGTATTTGAGCCGGAAATAGCACTCAGCTGTGCACATGTTTCCTGGCGATCAAGTTCAAACATGCACAATAATATAACAGGATGAATACTGGCCCAGTCATCAGTAAAATATAATACAGAATACTATTTTTTAACCCAAAGAAATATATCCTAGCATTGTGTAATTCTAATTAGTTTTTGCACTATAAATGTAAAATATATAATCAACACAACAGTTATACGGACCCTCATGAACTAGGTAAGTTGTACGGACATGGAATGGGGTAAAAAAGCAAGCCATTTAAAATCAAACATTTTTACCGATGTTACTGTAAACTAGCAGTCCATGGAAAACAAGACGGTAATAAGCAAGCCAGTTTGTTGACATGTTATCGTCTAACTACAATATGTATGCGAAACAAAATATATTATCCATTTCCTGTCAACTACACTTCATTTGATGCGTGAGTAGACGCAACATGATTGTGAATTTTTTTAATGATGTGGACCAAAGTTATAATTATTGGTAACCGCCAGTTGTCTGTGGTCTGTGTTTGCCACAATTAGGACCCCATCGCGGGGGGTCGGCTTATGTACGGTACGAAACATACTATTTTGACACTGATTTTAAGGGTCAAGTTTGGGGGTCGGCTTATCTATGGGGTCAGGTTATAGACGGTAATATACGGTACACAGGGCATAATGCTTAATGTGATGTCACTTGTCTGTCATGCCACAATAAGGTATATTTCTTGCTGTATTAAATAGTGGCCTGCACATCATGCAATTACATAGTTATCTCCCTTTTCATTCCCCACACTGCTACTTCCAGTTTCTTTTGATGCTAGAGGTATCACATCCTTGCATTTGTTACATTCAATGTTGTGCATGTATAGAGATGCTATGAGATTATGAAGTGATTATATGACATAGTGTGGCAGTGGTAATGGTTGTGAGAGAGATGGCACTTTACTGAGGGCTGAACCGACTACGTCTCTGGGTGTACGCTAATTATATTGGTCGAAACTGTGACTTATAATAACATAAAGATTATTGTATCCTGTGATTCTGGTATAAATTCAACATTTCAGCATCATCCTAACTCCAAAATCCCAATAAATAATCAATGTTATGTCAACACCGAAGCATACCACTGATTTATAATAGTTATGCCTGGCATGTGTTATTTTTTTAAACACCTCACCTAATCCTTTAGAAACATACTATGATTTTTTCCCCTTCTTTGGAAATAACGGCCAGGATTCTGTCATAGTCCTTTTCATGGAACTCCACTTCATTGACATTCTCAAACACCCCTAGCAGGTGAGACTGAAACCCAAACAAGTAGATATTTACAACATATGCATATATATCTTATTCATGATAACATTAACAATTAGAAAGTCATACCAAACATTGCATAAAAACATATGATTTACCTCTCACTGGGCTTAAACTGGTTGTAGAAAGCAATTGTCAAGAGTTTTCCAACAATATTTGTTTATAATGTTTTCAAAAGATTATTTCTGATGAGTAATAAAACATACCAACATGGAACACAACATACTATATGTTGAGGAGAAAAATCAGTGTACCTGAATTGTGTGAGAATCACTTGCTTGTCCAAGTATTTCCAGCAAAGAGGGATCTGAGATGAAGAAGAACCTGGGAAACACCAGTCTCTTTTTCTCCAAGTACCTGTACAAAAATATTATAGGTGGTCTAAACACAATGTGTCAGAAGTACATTGTTTTAGCTCAAAACACAGCAGTTTTCTCTACACATTTGTTCGTTTACTGGTTATCTAATGCCACACTTAACAACATTCCAGCTATATGATGGCAGTCTAAAGAATCAATCTGGACTTGGAAAATCAGTGACTGATGAACAATGTCTAGGAATTTCAGCATTTAATGACATGCAATCAACAAAGTCATCAAATCATAGAAGTCTCTTTGTGACATTTGAGCAGGAGTAGCTACAAGGTTACACTAGTAATTCCAAGTTTGCCAGTAATTTCAAACCTTGCAGCTTAAGTATACAATCTGTGCTCAAACCCTACTGTGTGTCATGATCAGCTGTTCATGCCAACACTAGTTTTCTACTGTATGTTTTGTTTACCCTGTGAGAGATTTCTGACACAGCTCTAGCTGCTCCAGCAGATGAGGTAGGAGTTGTCCCATGGTTTCATCCCCAACACAGCACTGGACAACATTGGTGACCTCATGTGCACGCTGCATGATCTTGCCCCATGACTTGTCTATATTCTGGAACCTCTTGGCTTCCTACAACAGAAAGGATAAAATCTACTGGATGGAAACGCATAAATGAAACAACCTAAAAATGATGCTTCTTTTTTAAAAAAGTTGATCAAATCATGATTATCCTAATGCCAGATGTGTCTAAAAAGTTTCTGTAACACTGTCTTCTCCACTTGAGTTATAGTAGGAATATATCTAAATCTGCACAGTGGCCAATATTCAGCCCCAGGTCTTTTGCAAAAGTCAGCAAATATTCCCTAAGTTGAAAAATCTTCCCAGTTCAGGATATAAACCGAATAGTAATAGCTGATGTTTTGGTTTTGTTAAATGTAACTTGTATTTCACTGTCTAATTTGATCAAATAACAATCTACTTCTAACATTGCCTGCCAAGAGCACAATATTTGGAATACTGTATACATTCATATGTAGTCTTCTAACTCTAATTCTGTTCAACATAAGTAGACATATGACATGTTGTACCTCACTGTAAGAACAGTTAGAACACTATATCAAGTTTAAGAGGTTTTAAAAATGATCTGATGTAAAGCCAAGAAAACAGGTTACAATATCTGTATACCACATACAAACACTGAAATCTGACTAATTTAGAGCCTCACAAGGGGAGGAAGAAGAAAATAAGGCCCTTTATTGTCGTGAGAAATGTCAATTTTTAACTTCAGGAAAAGTCTGAAAGATTTGGATAAACCTGAAGAGGTTTTCAATTCTTTGAAGAGAGTCGTCCTTGGGGTACATATTATGCATTTTCCGGCTGAAAAATGTCCTGTGACAGTTGTATCAATGTTTTTGAATAAAAGATTGAACAATAAATAAACTCTTTTATTTATTATATCGGTCCCTACCTCACGGAGTTACCTCCCTTAGCATGCGCACCAACTGGGTAGGCTCCTAGACCCGTATCATCATTCCTTCTGCTGAATATATCAGTGAACAGAATTGCGGGGGAGGCGGGAGGCCCTACCCAGGGCGACTCTCTTCAAAGAATTGAAAACCTCTTCAGGTTTGGTTAATTCTTTTTCAGAGAGATCGTCCTTGGGGTACATATTATGCATAAACACAGACTCCCAAAGACCCGGAGGCCAGGGAGGAGGAATTCTGTCCAAGCACACACAAATATAGCGATCGGTATCATGGAAAAAAATTGAACAGGCATGCATAACACTCACCTGTCACTTGTCCCAGTTTAAGCTTCCGCGAGAGGCATGCTGGGAGGGAACTGACAGGGAGGAAGTGTACTCAAAGGCGACCTCCATTTAGCATAGTGAGACAACGCACATAGTGTGAATGTCAATAAAGCCCCACCCACGAAGTGTCTATTAGTGAGCACCGTAGGGGGGAATGCAATACCGCTCACAATCGACAAATAACTCCTAAGAGAATCGAAGGGGGTACATGTTCTCTGAGTGAGCTCACAGTAGCAGACATGTCAATAATACAAATATTGTACAGTAGCGTCAAAACAGACCAATAAACCAAGACTCACTTTCGGTCAGGGTGGCAGGACACTGTCCACTGGAGAGAACAATGCGACCAAAGCTTCGCCGCGATTACGGGAATGCGTGTCGAGCTGATAATGCCGTATAAGCGTGCTTGGCGGCTCCAAATAGCGGCAGAGCAGATCTCTTCAATGGGGAGTGCCGATGCAAAAGCTTTTGATGCGGCTACTGCCCTGACCGAGTGAGCCTTCAACCCCTCAGGGGAGGCTTGCCCTTAGCCTGATAAGCGGCACAAATACGAAACTAGCCAGCGAGACAAAGTCTGCTTGCTGCGCTGGCACACCAGCCTTCCGCCACCGTAACAACAGAACAGCTGGGTACCCGTGCACAGTTCCCTGCGTTAGTTTGATATAGACTTTGGCGTCTTCACGGACATCCAGCGGGTGAGTGCTGCGTAGGAGTGGTCCCGATGTGGAAGGCTGGGTAAGAGTAGGAAGTTCGATAGGAGCTGTCACATGGAAGCGTGATGTCGACCTTCCGGTCGGTAAAGTATCTGGGAGGCCGAATACTGACACGATCCGTGTGAAACACAGTCAGCGCCCGGGTCGGACGACATAGCATGTAAATCGCCGACCCTACGTCCAGATGTTACCGCCACCAGAAAAACAGCTTTCAAGTTAACAACTGAATGGAAATAGCCGATAGGTGTGAGAAAGTTGGACGGACAGCCAATCTAGCACAATTGACAAATCCCAAGGTGGACTGGTTAAGCCTGGCGCCGGTCGAATCCGTTCAGCGCCAGCAAAGCTATGCGAGAGGTGCTGCTGCCCAGAAGAGCACCATCGACAGGGGTGTGAAAAGTGGAAATAGCGGTGGAGTAGCCACGAATGGTCGAAGCCGCCAGGCCTTCTTCCAAGCGAGCTTGCAAAAACTCCAATACTTTCGGACTAAATCCGCGAAAAGGGATCTGCAATGCCCTATCTGAACACCAGCGGCGCATAAGCGGGACCACCTATCCTCGTACTGAGCGTTTGTCCGAATCCGCCTCGAAGCCAGAATTGTGTCTGCAACTGCTGCAGGAATTCCGCGTGCCTCGAGGTTAGACCTGACAGAGGCCAAGCCACCCACTGAATCCGTGGATTTGGGTGGGGCTCTCCGTTCTGAGTGAGAATGTCGATTAAGTAAAGGTAATAGAACAGGAGGCTGAGCCAGAAACCTGAGAATTACGGAAACCAGCTCTGTGGCGGCCAAAGCGGTGCCAGTAGCACAAGTAGCCGAGCTGGCTGGGTGGACAGCTGTGAAAGGACCGCGGGGAATGAGTGGTAGCGGCGGGAGCATGAGCACTTTGCCCGTCAATCCAGCAGGAAGGCGTCGGCAGCCAGCGCCCTGGGTCGGTATCCGAGAGCAGAACACGGGTGTCTGATCGTCCCGCCCGGGCGCAAACAGATCCACCTGGAGCGACCCGTACAACTGGGAGATTACTCTGAAAATCTGCCTGTCGAGCATCCCACTTTCGTCGCGGGGCCAGGATCCGGCGAGAGAGAAGCGCATCTGCTGCGCCGTTCTCCAGCCCGGGGAGATAAACAGGGAGTACCTGACAGTCGCACTGATCGCACCAGAGGAGAAAGTCCCGCCTCCCGGAGGCGCTGGGGACACCGTGCCTCCCTGCTTCAGGATGTATGCGACATGGCCGTCTGGTTGTCCAACTGAAGGCGGACTACCTGGCCCGCGGACATGCTCTCTGAAGCGCTCGAATACCAACCGCACAGCTCTCAGTTCCAACACGTTGATGTGAAGGTGGGCTTGACTTCGGACCAGAGTCGGGATGCCGACAGACTGCCAGAACACCCCAGCCCGTGAGGGCGCATCGGTCTGAACTGTGAGAGCTGGCGTCGGGGATTTCAAAGGGGATCCCCTGGTGAGATTCCGACATTTGTCCACCACTGAAGGTGAGGTGTCAACCACTTTCGGGGACTGTGAGACTGCGCTCCAGATCCTCCGTGTGAGTCCACAGCGAGCCAAAGCTTGCTGTATAGGGCGCATCCTCAACAGCGCCCGCCACACTACAGAGATCGTCGCCGCCATATGGCCCAGTAGGCGGAGCCAAGTCCGTGCTGGTGCCTGGGGCTGGGAGAGGAATGAAGATACCATCTCGAACTCTGGTGATCGGTCGGGCGACAAAGGAAACGAGATCCTTGTTACGTTTGGAATCGGCGCTCCAAGAAAAACCAAGTCCTGGGTGGGTACCAGGTCGGTTCTTGAGGTTGATGATCCACCCCAGTCGAGTTAGAATGTCTATCACTGTGTGAGTAGCATCTTGACTTCGCTGGCTGAGTTAGTGCTCCGAGCAACCAGTCGTCTAGGTAAGGGTAACAACGCCTTCCTTGCGAGCGAGCTAGGAGTAGCTGGGACTAACATGAGCTTGGTGAACACCCTTGGGGCAGTCGATATGCGAAGGGGAGCACCCTGAATTGGTAACACATCCGTCGTAAGAGAACCGAAGGTACTGCTTGAGCGATGGATGTATTGGTACATGCAGAATCACGCATCCTTTAGGTCGATTGGCGTGAGCCAATCGCCGGGCTGAACAGATGAGATCACCGGCGCGCGTGTCTCCATCTTGAAGGATGGTACTTCTAGCATCGCGATTCAACCCCTTGAGGTTGAGAATCGGACCGGAACCGCCGTCTTTCTTGGGAGACGAGGAAGTGCGTGGAGTAAAATCCCGCCTGTTCCTCTCCCGGTGGAATCGCTCGATTGCGGACTTGTCCAGCAGAGCCTGAACCGTCGGCGCAATATGTCCGCCCTGGCCTGACATGGCGGCACCCGGTGCGGCGTATGCCGGTGAAGTCGGGCGGACCTCGCTTCCACAGTGGTAAATGGCCTATGCTGACCGTGGCCAGCACCCAAAGCGTTGTTGGTAGCCTTCTCCCATTCCGGCAGGAATAGAGAAGCTGACCTCCCACTGGGATATGGGGTAGGAGCTGCGTCGTGGACCCTAGTAGCGGAGCTGACTGGGTGTGACACCGCGGCTTGGCGGCAGCCTGATGGGTTAGCGGGAGGTCGGGGCAGACCTCCAGCGCCGAAAAGGCTGGGAGCTAGTCGAGGACTGCTCCTTGCCCCTACCCTTGGCGGACCTGTTCCTCCGCCTACCCCTACCAGCGGCGAAGCCAGCCCGGCGGACTTCGGCGTAGGCTGCACCCGGCGGAGGAAGGTGGAGCGGGGCCTTGGGGGCGAGACACCCGCGGGTGCTCAACAAGGCCTTAGAATCCTTGAAGGAGGTAGCTGCAGCAGCAGCCTCCCGTATGACCTGCTGGGCCCCTGGAAGAGGGTGGCTCCCAGGCGGAAAGGGAGGGCCAGCAAGGTCTGCTGCGTCGCTGCCGAGTACCTGAGGCGTCGACAGCCACAGCTTGCGCATCCCCATGACTGCGCACATCACCGTCGGCGCTGCAGACCGCCAAAGAGTCGGCGAGGTGTGGCCTGCACTTCCGAGCTGGCGGAACAGCCGCGACATCGCGGCGGCGTCGCCAGCATGCCCCTCCGCCTCCAGGGCCGACCTCTGAATCGAGGAGAGGTAGGCCTCGTGGACCACCACCCTGACCTGCTGCATCGGCGTTCGGTAGACCTCCTCGTAGGTCGGTGCGCGTGCCGCAGAAGCGCCAGCGAGGGCAAAAGGTGGAGTGAGGCGCCCTTGCCGAGCAGCGGGCTGCTCGGGAGGAAGCCGAGCCTCCCCAGAGGCGACGAAGTGAACACGCGCTTTCGTCAGCGATGGGAACTACAAACAGGGAGTCCTCCCCAAGCTGGTAGCGCCGCCGCGAGATCCGGCAAGTCGGGCCGGACTCGGGCACCAGACAGAGGGGATCAACCCGTCTGAGACCAGCGAAGGCAAAATCGCGGGCTGCGTCTGCGAGGGTTGCCGAGGGGCAAAGCGCCTCGCCAGGCAAAGCGGAACTCAGCCGAGTCCACGCAACCCACAGGCACCGCGGCAGGGTAGGCCCTCGGCAATTCTTTGCGGACCTCCCGCCAGAGCGAAGCAAAGCGGAAGCCTCCGTCATGCTCCTCAACCTCCCCAAGCTCCATTGCCTCGGCGCCCGAGCCGGAGTCAGAGGCTGGGTCTCCTCGAAAGGGACCCTAACCCGACCCGGTGGGCTGCCCTAGCTAGGAAGCACAGAAAGGGAAGAGCAGACAGACTGCTCCGCGTCGGCCAGCAGCGTGCATGGACCCGGTCGAGGCGCTGGAGGCAGGCCAGGCAGAACTGGTGCCTCCCGGCTCTCATGGGGCGGGGGTGTGCGCGAGGGACGGAACACCAGGAATACTCAGCGGTCCCTGCGCCCAGCTCCGAGAGGGGACTGGGAGCACCTCCCCTCCCGGGGCAGCCGAGGCGTCCGGACCCGAAGCCAGAGGCAGCGGGTCAACAGGCGCCTCAAGGCTGAGGGGATCGAGCGAGCCAGCGATCCCACCCTGACTCTCCGCCCCGTCCGGGTGGCGAGGAACTCCTGGCGGAGACCTCCAACTGACTCACGAGCGAGGGACTTCACAGAGTCCATATGCTGCTGAAACAAGGTTTCCATTATCGACATGTCAAAGCCACCAGTACTGGCGGGAGAGGGGTTTTGGCCCGCGGGATTTTTTTCTTTTTTGCGGCTTTTTAGCCTTAGGCGGGGGACCTGCGTCAGTTCCCCACCGCCTCCGCATCTCCCGGTAGAAGAAGCGTATCTGCCGCCCTCCTCTTTTGGGCCGGGGAAAACCCAAGACATATTGGACAAGATTCCGCATCGTGTCCCGTCTTCTCTAGAGACAGGCAGCGCATTGCTCATGCCTGTCGGCCCGTGGAATACTCTGTCCACAGACCGAACAGGATGAAAAGGCCTGAAAGCAAACACGCAAGCATGTAGCTAACAGCGGACCAGCAGCATATAAACCGTAGAAAACATTGAAAAATGCGTGAAGGTTACCACGGAGGAAGTAATAGTTGGTTTTAATACTCAATATTACGACCACATGGCGCACTAAACTTCCCGCCATGGCAGAGCAACACGTCGTAAACCACGGGAAAGTTCAGTGTATTAGAATTAATACAAAGTCACAATTATGAAACAACCAACTGTAAAGCTTTACTGTTCCTTTCATAAGCAAATAAAGACCATACATACAGGTGGTGTTTGAGACATATTCAATTTCTGGTTCGTCAGAAAGTTCAGCTGCGTCCGGCTCATGAAGTATTACATCGTCTGTTCATGGCAGTGACAGCAGAAGGAATGATGATCTGGGTCTAGGAGCCTACCCAGTTGAGTAGACGCTTTTATTTTCCAACCCAGTTTCCTGTACAGACTGCGCATGTCCAGTTGTATGCAAATCGGGTTGACACAAAACCATATAACCCAAAACGGAATGAGATTGACCAGGTAAAACACTACATCCCTTTTTACCTTAAATAGAATAAACCTATGATCTATCTCAAGATTTTACCTTGCATACTATTCTTGAACATTTTATGGTTATGGCAACAAGTTTCCAAATTATAATACCAATTGATAACTTGTCTTAAACAAACATAACAACCAACTGTTACCAGAACCATGTTACTTTAACAATTTGTTCTCACAAATAATTGTCCATCCAGAAATCTATTGAAACATATTGATATTACCTGTATCTAGAAACAATCTGAAGTAAAGTAAGTTTATCTAAAGTGTTTGTTATAGTACGTACATTTAACACTTTTTATAATACATTTAACACTCTTTATAATCCCACAACTCAAATAATTCAATCACCTTTTTGAAATACATCAAGAAACCAGTCAATGGTGTTTAGAAAATACTACAACACCCAGCTGATAGAATGATATTTCTAAAATACATTCTTGTTCAAAAGTAATTCAAATAATGAAACACACAAAACTGTCTTTTCAAACTACCCAAAACTAATTAGTCCTTTGAATATATTAGTGTCCAAAATTCTTTGAAACATAATTCAACAGTTCAGATATCCAAGTACAAAATCCTTGTACTTGGTCGGCACAGACTTGAAACGCAGTGGCCTTGCACTAGGAAGGTCAGTTGGTACAGTGCTGTCAGGCTGCACAATGGAAATGTCCTTCTCACCATTAGAACTTCTTGCATTATATTTCTTTACATGTGTCACATTTCTTCTGTATACCGGACCACTTTCAGTCCCTACTTTCTACTGTATTGCCATACCTGTTGACAACAGTAAATGGTTCCTTGTGAAAACTTGTAGAAAGTTTATTGTCATGTACTTGTTTCTTCACCAGAACTTTTTCACCACACTCAATCGTTGACTGTGTCGCATGCCTTCTTCTGTCACTGTAGACTTTCCCTTTGTATTTCAGTTCATTATCATGGTCACGCACTTCACCATCCACATTGATGTTTTCGATTTCTGGCAGTTTCGTTAAGCACTGTTCGTCTGAACAACAACTCACTGGGCGACTTTCCTGTTGTCGCTTGAGGGGTTGTCCGATACATAATAAGGAATGGAATTAATTCCTGTTTCCAGTCCTTTCCCTCCACCTGGGCAATCTTGATCCTTTTCAGTATCGTCTGATTCTGCCTTTCAACCTCGCCATTGGCTTGAGGCCAATATGGAGTGCTTGTTTTATGTTCTATGCCATTGTGGCGCAGATACTCTTTAAAGTTCTTGCTTGTAAATTGTGGACCATTATCTGTTTTCAAACTGAGGGGAAGTCCATGAGTTGTGAAAATTCTTGTCAAACAGTCTACAATAGATTCTGCAGTGGTGTTCTTGATCACATCAAGTTTGAAGTAACGACTATAATAGTCGACTACCACAAATACGTGTTCTCCCGTAGGTAGTGGTCCCATCAGGTCCGCAGCGAGATGTCGCCATGGGGATGTTGGCAATGGTGTACGGCACATAGGCGGAGGAGGAGAGTTTGGCAAAGCCACCACTTGACATCCATGACATGATCTGCAGAATTTCTCAGCATCGGCATCTATTCCCGGCCACCATACTTTGCTACGTAAACGCTGTTTCATCCGTACAATACCGGATGACCTTCATGAGCCAATTGAAGCACATTCTCTCTTCAACAGCTTAGGAATCACTATTCTGGTACCACGCAACACAATTTTACCAATAGCAGACAGTTCATTTCTCACTGGTACATACTTTGTGTTGCCCACTGTATACCATTTCCTGACGACAGACACCCTCTCACATCACACAATTCTTCATCCTCATCTGATGATCTCTCTATGGTTTGCGTCGTCAAGCGCCACAGGTGTAGATTCAATTGTCACGAACCGTTACATACAGGTCAGCTTCCTGTGATGCGGTTGTGCTCACTTTCTCTGTTGCTCCTAACAGTCTCGACAGACAATCAGCAATGTTATTGTGACCTTGGATATATTTCACGGTATAATCATATCCTTGTAGTCTCAACACCCATCGTTCCACTTTCGGGCACAAGGTTTCCCTCTTTTTGCATATATGAATTGCAGCGGTCGATGATCCGTCAACAACTCGAATGGTGCACCATATAAAGTATTGGTGAAAGCGTGCATGCCCACCCACAAGAGCCAATGCCTCCTTCTCGGTTTGAGAATACCGTCTCTCAATGTCTGATAAACTCTTGCTTGCATAAGATATGACTCTATGCACACCTCGTTGTTCTTGAACTAGTACAGCCCCGATTCCAACAGGACTTGCGTCTGCAATCACTTGTGTCGGTGCGTTCTTATCAAAAGTATCCCAGTACGTTGGCACTAGTCAAACATTTCTTCAGCTGATTGAAAGAAGCCTGTTGTTCAGGTCCCCAAACAAACTTCACATTGCTTCTTGTCAGACGTCTTAAAGGTTCTGACACTGTCGAAAGGTTTTCTATGTACCTCCCATTGAAGTTGACTAGCCCCAAGAAGCTTCTGATTTCTTTTGTGTTGCTTGGTTCTCTAGCCTCGAGAACTGCTCTGACTTTATCTTCTGCTGGACTCACTCCCTTCTCGGATAAGACATGTCCAAGAAATTGTAGATTTTCCATTCTAAATTGACACTTTCCAGCATTCAATGTCAGTCCTTTTTCTTGCAGCACAGACAGGACATTCGCCATTCTCCTGTCATGCTCTTTCAGTAGTAGCACCGTGAACGATAATGTCATCCATAATGTTACTCACACCTTCACATCCCTGTAATACTTGCTGGAGAGTCTTTTGATACATTTCAGGAGCACAACAAATACCAAACATCAGTCTTTTGTACCTGTAAAGACCTTTGTGAGGTGCTGAATGTTGTAATGTGACGAGATTCTTTAGAAAGTTCAATCTGATGATACGCCCATTTTACATCAAGTTTACTGAACACTGCACTTTGGTTGAGATCTTGTAACACATCATCAATAGTAGGCATTTGATGTCTTACACGTCTCACTGCATCGTTTGCTGTCCTCATATCCACGCATACACGAATGTCTTTACCTCCAGGTTTAGGTACAATGACTATTGGTGACACCCAACCACTTGGTCCTGTAACCTTCTCTATGACGTCAAGTTCTTCCAATTCCGTTAACTTTTCTTCCAGTTTGCCCTGGAGATGATACGGAACTCTACGTAGTGGCTGTACAACTGGTTCCACAGTCTCATCAATAGGAATTGTCATTTGATAATTCTTGAGCTTTCAAATCCAGTAAACAGGTCCGGAAAGTCTTTTACAAAGTCTCGTGGAGATTCTAGCTTGTTAACGTTTTGTCCAAGAGCCAAAACTCCTAGTTCTTGAGATAGATTCCTTCCAAGGAGAGGAGGTCCGTCATGTTTCACAACGATAAATTCAGCTTGGTCGACTGTTGTTTCACCTACTGAAATGTCAGTGGTAAACATACCTAACACCCGCAACGGTTCTTTTACCCCATATGGATAAATATCCGCGTAGTCCTCTCCGATGTGCACTTGATATGCTCATTCTTCAAAATGTTCCATGTTTTCTGTCCCACAATGTTGCATGTCGACCCACTGTCGATCAACATATTCAAAGATACTCCCCAACAGTGACTGTAACTGTTCCATCATGCATTTCCCTAGCACGCAGTATCAATGCCAAATACAAAATCTTTGTCTTTAGAATCTTCATCCTTGGGTGTCTCATCTCTTACTTGTCTTACTTTGCCATGTTCTGTTCTCTTTCTCCCTGTTTGTAATTTTTGTCTTGCACATTTTCTCATAATGTCCTACAAACTTGCATCGATTACACATCCTCTTTGAGTGCAGGACAACTCTCATCTTTAGACCAGTGTCCCTTGTTACCACATCTGTAACAAGTTATGTCACTTCTGTTTTTCTTCACATTAAAGTTTCCCTTCTTCCCAGACTTTCTCCCGTCTGACTGTTTGGAACTCCTCATAGCATTCACGACACTTGGACCTTCAATAGTTTTTGCTTGCAGTTCAGATTCCTCCAGTGCTCTCGCAGTCGACACCAAAATGTCCAGTGTTAAGTCACCCCCTTTTTCCAGTAACTTCATCCTCAACCTGCGAGAGGAACACTTTTCAATGACCTGGTCTCGAATTCGTTCGTCAACAGCTCCTATATTGCCGAATTCACAATTGTCAGCTTGCTGTCGCCAGACGAGTTATGAATTGAGAAACAGTCTCATCCGTCTGACCCATGGCGCGAAAAACATGCGGCTCATATGGCACATTCACACGTGGTTGGAAATATTCATTTAGTGCATACTTCGTTTTCGTAAGCGTCACCCTCACCTGTCGGTACTAAGCGTGTAGAATATGTCTTGCACTTCCATTCCAGCCGTATGAAGTAACAGTGCCTTTTTCTGCTCTGCATTCTTGACCCCTTTCCATCTGAATAAAGTTCGAAGGCTCGCGAACCATCTCCGCCATTTTGGCGCGAGACTGGCTGTCTCTCGAACAGTGGAAAACCGGAACCCCAGCAATGTCGGTCAATTTGACAGAAGACATCATGTAGTCGATTCACCTCGTCGCCAATTGTACTGTGTGCAAGTCTGTGTCCCGTTCGCATTTAAGCTAACCTCCAATGAAAGATTCAAAACACAAGGCTGGTCGCTTGTTGCTCTCCACATCACGTGTAGACGTTTTTATTTTCCAACCCAGTTTCCTGTACAGACTGCGCATGTCCAGTTGTATGCAAATCAGGTTGACACAAAACCATATAACCCAAAACGGAATGAGATTGACCAGGTAAAACACTACAACTCCGTGAGGCAGGGACCGTATAATAAATAAAAGAGTTTATTTATTGTTCAATCTTTTTATTCAAAAAACATTGATACAACTGTCACAGGACATTTTTCAGCCGGAAAATGCATAAAATGTACCCCAAGGACGATCTCTCTGAAAAAGAATTCCTGTTATTGTCCATATTTTAAAACTGTGGCGAAGCTTTCAAATGACAAGAAACCTCTCCAAGCGTAAGATTTGTGAAGTAAGACGTGTAAAGAAGAGAGAAAGAGAGCAAAAATCTACTTTATAATAGTGAGACATGTGAAATATGTGTGAGAGTTGACAGGTTGAGTGAGTGAGTGAGTGAGTGAGTGAGAGCGAGCGAGCAGTATTATGCTGCTTTCAGCAATATTCAAGCACTATCAACTGTACTCATGTATATAATTGATTTAACAACACAGACTTTCTGAAGCTTCTCGATACCAGCTGATGAAAAAGGATCAGTTAAAACAAATCAATGTGGGATTAAATACTTCATTATTTAAGTTTTGAGACATAAATCAGAGCCCACAAAAACAGAATTCTGAAAATGTCGAATTACCTGTAATACTAAAAAAACATACTGACATGAAGAATCACAAATATATTTTAGTACTCATCCATATGTTGTATTATGGTATGATAGCCATTCTGGAACTTTTGGAAAAAGAAAGACAAATGAGCATTGAAAAGTACAGATAATGATCTTGTGGTAAAAATAGGATAGGACTTATTGCTTGTTTTAGTTACAGCATAAAACATTGAGAAAAATGTTCGGTTGATTTTGTTAGATATAAATCGTGCACCCCTAAACTGAAGATGTTTTGTCTGGCATTCAACTTTTGAACTGGTCCCTACAGTACCTGTTGCTAAGCAGTGAGCTGAGAATCATCAAACTGTCCTCCAGGCAGGAAATGGTCTCTGTCGTATCACCTCCCTTCAGAAGGAGTTCTCCTCGAGCCTTAAAGTTGGAAAAAGTGATAGTTCGTCCATTCCAGTCACTGATCACTGCCTTAAGTTTGGCTTCAATATCCTTCTCCTTCACAGCTGAGATGCACACATCCTAGAATCAACACTTATGGTTACAGCAATTATTTCTCAAGTGTAAAATATTTGAGAGAAATCAACATGCTGGTCAGTAACACCATCAAACCGGAAAGTCTGCTTTCTTCACTATTATTATTCATGTTGGCAACATCTATTCACATTGAAAAGAAATTACAGAATTAAAGTCATGCGATTGTTGCAAAATGGTGACACCCAACAACGAACAAATACTAGGGCAAAGGTTTACGCATGGCAGCATTTTTTAATTTGTCATGATTAAAAGTTGGTATTAAAGCTTAATCAAACATTGTGAATTTGATGTGTTTTTTGCTTTATAATAAAGCATTAACTCGATTAATTTTCTGTTAAAAAAAATTTCTTGCAATATAATGCAATACATATCGCAATATATGCTTTCGCATCGCAATATATCGCAATATAAAAATTCTCTGCAATACACACCCCCCTACTTGGGAGGTCTACAAACTTTATATGTATACAGTGCCAGGAAATAATATTTTGGAACTGGCAACTTTAGGCATGGGAATCAACACAAAATAGTACTTGAATCTGTTCTTCAGTAAGAAAGTGTAATCCCAAATATAAAATCTCTTACATTTGACCACTCTCAGAATGACATTATGTATTTATAACTTTAGGCAGAACTTATAAATTTTACATGCTATCTCCAGGTATGACATTACGCTGCAACACCATCAAATCTAAAAACACATAATGTTTATCAACATTGTAAAATAAACACATTTGCAGCCAGAGGTGGAAGCTCTCCCAAAGTGAAGTTTCCCACTTGTGTCACCCTGGAATGTGATGGCATGTGATAACTGAATTCACAGGGCTTGCAGAAAGTTAAAAATGAACTAAAGCAAATCTGTTCTCCAATTGAGATCAAACTTTTATCTAATACTTGATATACTCATTTCACCCAACTAAATGGCATGTTTTTAAAATTTGGGATTAACAGAAGATAGGACCCTTATAAAGAAAAATATTCATACAATGAAAAGTTCACAAGATCAGAAATCAAACCAAGCCTCTTCTGTCAGATGAAAATGTTTCGTAAAAAGGCCAGACTGTACTTCTTATAACTCTATGTCCTAACAATGACAATCCACACACACAGCCCCATTCATGCCTTACATTCTAAATGTCACCAACTGCCATTCACACAAATGTACAGGCGCTCCAATTTACCTCCCTTACATGAGTCTCTCAGATCTATCCAATAAGAAAAAGACATTCATTTTGTGTTTTCAGTAAACATATTATTCTAGCAATAAGATGCAAAAGACTATTGATGAACATACACAGCTAATGAAATAAGCCATCCAAACATTTTCAATCAATAGTAAATGTCAAGGGAACTTGTCTACCTACTTCAATCTCCTCCTTGTATTTCAGTAGAGGAGCCTTCATGATGTCTCTCAGTGTAAAGTTATCTGAGTCAAAGTCAAATGTGTGTCCTGTGAGTTTAGCTATTCTGTCCCAGTGCCTTTCCTTCATAGCCTTGTTAGCCATCAGCTCCAACAAGGGACATGACTCACTGAAGTCATCAATCTTTTTCTTCAAATCTAAAAACGCCTGCCATTCTTTCAGACCTTTAGGGAGGCGGCGGCATCTACAAGGAACAAGTGATTCTTATATGAAACTATAAACTATTTCCATATTACCTTAAAAGAAGTAGCCCTGAAACATTACAAACAATAAGGTAATTTTCACATAAAATGTTACAAATGTTTGGATTTGATATGATTGTATTTATCAAGAGATTTTGATCTCACAATGACAACTTATAACAATTTCAAAAAAAGAAAGGATACCAAACACAGTATTTGGTTCCACTGACATCATACATTGTTGCCAAACAGACTGAGAAAAAAACTCATGTCACAATATCCAGATTTACAGACTGCTGAGTAACCTTGTGGTACTGAAGCGTAATATCAGAAGCAGGGTTTAACACCCCACATGAGTGCAATGTGTGAACCCTACTTTCTATATTCCCTACCATATCAGCCTGGAATGTTGCTAGAAGTTGCATTAAACCCTATTTACTCACTCTTGTGGTGTGGAGCACACCAAAATCAAGGCTACCCATCAAAACATTTACCTGTTCTGGAGGTCCAACAATTCTGAATTGATTTTGTCAATGTCAACCTCAACCCAAAGAATGTCAAAATATCCACTGATGAGGGTCATGACCGTGTTGTAGAGACCATACAGTTTCTGCAGCAGATTCAACTCCTTCTTCACCTTGACAAGAGCTGGGTAATCTGTGACTGTCAGGCCAAACAGCTGCTCCCCAGCTGAGTAGATAGAGTACTTGCTCCACAAATCATCAAATTGACTCTGTTGAACAAGACCATATTAGGTAAATGATTCCATTGACGCAGAGTTTTTATTTGGTCAGCAGTCCAAAGTATGAGTGTAGTTAATTGTTTTCTGGTGTATTGAGATAAGCTCAAGCTAATGTATATGCTACAGTTAAAAATCTACTGAAAATTCACAGAGAAGTCAGAGGCATCTGAATGTGAACACAGCAACTCTATTTTCACTACCTCTACCAACATCTTTGTGGACAAATGCCATTACTATCATATAACATTAGTCAAATTAAAAGGGGCTGTGGTGTCACTGAGGCAAGTAATTCCATGAGACCAGATGAAGACTCATCACCTTCAGATCTATCAATAGTATATCAATATCCAGCAGAAACTTGACTCTTGAAATCAAGATCTAATTTAATCTTCAATTATCTTTAGTAGTATACACAATGGTTGAACTGCGATAGGGACTTACCAAAGGCTTAATTTTTAAAAATTAAGCCCTTGGTGAGAACCTATCGCCGTTCCACCATTGTGTATACTACAACTGAGTTGCATTCAAAATTTGACGAAAATCGGTAGAATAGTTTCTGAAATATTTGACTATTAAGTGAGCATGGGGTCGGTCGGGAAAAGGCAAAATGTCCAACTTTTCATAGTAATTAAGTCTTAATTAATCTAATGAAGTCATCGAGAGTGTTCCCAATGCCATTTTGCTATAGCGTAACCATCTGCCGAGATGCATGCAAAATTTCACGGAAATCAGTCAAATAGTGTAGGAAATAATCACTTTTTAGTGAGCATGGGGTTGGTCGGCGAAAGGCTATCAATCCAACGTATTGTCGTACTTGTTATATATTATCGAGTCGAGAGGTGTTTTTAGCTGAATGAAACGCAGGTCTAGGAAGTCATCACCTCGCTACAGTCTCGGTGGTTGCTTTGAGCGAGCGCCGTGGACGAGTATAAGTGTGTGTATCTCTCGGCTCAGCTATGATGATGATGCATGGCAGGCTGACTAACGAGGCTACAGATGTCTGAAAGTGAATGAAACACATCTCTCGGCAGTTTCCTTCCCGGGTCGTCATCCAGGTATCACCGAGCGAGCGCTGTGAGCGAGTTGCAGTGTGTGCCTCGACTCGGCTTGTACAGCCGACTGACTGGCTGGCTGACAACGTATGCACGGCAGGCTGACTAGTGGGGCTACAGATGTCTGAAAGTGAATGAAATACATCTCTCGGCAGTTTCCTCCACGGGTCGTCATCCGGGTATCACTGAGCGAGCGCTGTGAGTGAGTCGCAGTGTGTCCCTCGACTCGGCTTGTACAGCCGACTGGCTGGCTGGCTGGTTGGCTGACAACGTATGCACGGCAGGCTGACTAGCGAGGCTACAGATGTCTGAAAGTGAATGAAATACATCTCTAGGCAGTTTCCTCCACGGGTCGTCGTCAGGGTATCGCCGAGCGAGCGCTGTGAGCGAGTCGCAGTGTGTGGCTCGACTCGCTTGTACAGCAGACTGGCTGGCTGGCTGACAACGTATGCATGGCAGGCTGACTAGCGAGGCTACAGATGTCTGAAAATGAATGAAACGTATCTCTTGGCAGTTTTCTCCACGGGTCGTCGTCCGGGTATCACCGAGCGAGCGCTGTGGGCGAGTCACAGTGTTTGGCTCGGCTCGGCTTGTATATCCGACTGACTGGCTGACTGGCTCTCTCGGTAGTTTCCTCCACGGGTCGACTCACTGCCGTCTCGGTAGCATTGAGCGAGCGCTGTGGGCGAGTAGCAGTGTGTGTGGTAGCATGTGTAGAATAGTCTAACTAACACAGTCTGTGATTACACAACTAGACACAACAGCAAAATACTCTTTATGAATATGTCTACTAGTTACGATTATGTCAAATGTTTTGGAGTTTATACAGCAAAGTGGAAGGAGAGTATTGAAAGGTTTCTAAGATCTGCTCCAGAAAGGAGCACTACCACCAAATTCAGTTGAAGCCTAACTTGTTGCCATGGAAATGAAACAAGATGACATCCTCATAGTCACAGCCTAAATCATGTTTCCATGGAAACAGTAAAAAATAAAATTCATATCTGGGTGTAACCCCCAAAAGCCACATCTAGGGATCATGTTTGATATGTGTACCAAGTTTGATGAAGCTAGCATGTATAATTAGGAGATCTGCTCCGGACAAGATGACATCCTCATAGTCACAGCATAAGTCACGTTTCCATGAAAACAGCAAAAAATATAATTCATATCTGGGTCTAACCGCCAAAAGGCACATCTATGGATCATGCTTGATATGTGTACCAAGTTTGATGAAGCTAGCATGTATAGTTTAGGAGATCTGCTCCAGACAAGATGACATCCTCATAGCCACAGCCTAAGTCATGTTTCCATGGAAACAGCAAAAAATAAAATTCATATCTGGTTCTAAACCCCAAAAGGCACATCTAGGGATCATGGTTGACATAATTACCAAGTTTGATGAAGCTAGCATGTACAGTTTAGGAGATCTGCTCCAGACAAGATGACATCCTCATAGTCACAGTCTAAATCTGTTTCGTTGTTGCAGGGGATAAAAAGAAGTTACCTGGAAACTCTGTAGTCTATCATTGGCTTCTGCTGGAGATATTCCTTCAGTCATAGGTCCGCCCTGATCACACAAATCGCACAATCTAAAATTCAGCAAACTGAATCATCACTGAAAATCAGGTACATGTTATTAATTGTATGCATATTGATCTCTGACCAAAAATGCATTTTGAATCTATTGTAACTTCAAAATAGGAATATGACGCAGATATTGAAAATTATATAAAATCATTGTACCTTGTTAATTCACTTTTTTTGTTTTTCACATGCAAGAGACTTAGAGTTTGTGTCTTCTGCTTTTTTAATAACATCAGATTGTTGTGATGTCTTTGAAGCAGTTTAAAACTGTTTAATTCTGTATCCTGAAGCAACGATAAGCTGGTATGCTGCTGACTAGAACAGTGAGGGCTATGACTGATCGATAAAATAGTTAATACTGGGTCTGCTTGAAACTACTTGAATGGTACATTGTAACATTGATCATCTCAGTTATGTCATTATCTAATCAGCCAAGCACAAATACCATCTCCTGAACAGACACTGTAACAATGTCAAGAATTCATTCATAAAATATTGTGTACTTTATAACTGACTAATACTGTGTGCTGTTTCAAGAATATACAGTTTCAGAAAAGTTTTGACCCCATGACACACTCACAGTATTATATCTTTCTTCAAAGCTCTCCACATCAACATGAAACACTTCAACAGACGTCAGAAGCTCTGTCTTGAAGCCTGGTTGTACATTCACAAGTTCATCTTGCACTTGACTCTACATTGTATGGAAACATAACATACATCATAACATAATCTTGCTTGTTATTTAGTGAATCATGACAGAAGGACTTTTGTCAAAGTAAGCACAAGCAGTTATTGTTATAACTGTAATGATAAAAGTGGGAATGCTGTTGTATATCATTTCAATGTTGATAATGGGTTGATGAAACGTTTATGAATGTCTTTGCTAAATTACAAATTTACTGCAATCAGAACATTTTCATTGGTTGGAATAAGGTGAACAATGGGAAGCATTAGGTTGATTATATGGTAGACAAAGGAAGTGTGTATCCATACAAAAGCAGAAAAACTTTTGTTAATTTTAGTTGATATATTGAAACTCAACTTAGAGGTGTATGACAGCTCTAGTCAAACGTTGATAATTTAGGGGATCACTTGATTCGAATGACACTGCAAAACCTAAACGACCTCTGGCACCTCCTAATCTTGAAGACTGATAGGTGTACAACACTTTTGTATTGCTGCTATATACCTTAGTCGTGTGAATGAAGGTGGTAACTGAAGTCCATGATGAACAAAATATCTAAGATTTAAAGTGTCTTCTTTTTCTGTGACAGAAAGACCAAACAATGTTTGCTTAAAGACATCCAGCTTGACCAGAGAAGAACTATTAATTTTGTTTTTGTAAGAATGTACATTTACATTTTCCCACTAATTTCTTATACAAATGACACTTTCAAAAATATCCTGCCATATGCACCGTCAAACTCAACCACCCCCTCTACTATAAAACAGTAAGACCTGGAGGAGGATCCCTGAAATTCACACTAATTCAATTGACATGTACTTCTAAATTGTGATGAGGATAAGTAAAAATCCAATCATTAGTTATTCTTATTAGTTTTAGTTATCCTCTTGGCTACTCTTTAAAAACAAAAACATTATCAAGGTTAAAAGTAAACACTTACAGCCTTACTGAGGGCCTTTTGGAAGGAATATCGAAGAGAATCCACCTTGTCATTTTCTTCTTTGTAAACAATTACTTCAAAGTCTTGAAGAAGATTGTATGACTCCTACAAATAGAGAAAACAAGTGAGCCTTGTTTATTCCTGCAATATACATTGTCTGCTGAAGGTAATCAAGTCTGGATGAGAGAAACATCAATCGAAAATGTGAGTATTCATCTATATAATTTGGATATATCATATCAGATGTAAAAAACAAAAGCAAAAGTATTTTCCCAGAAATATACTTACACATACAATCCTTTGTTGTCAAATATCAATTCTGAATATTGAATGTTGTTTCCACAACATGACATTTTTCTTACACATCTGAACCTATGGGTATGTCTTATGGAAAATTGTTCTCTATTTATCATTTACACTTAAAACATAACATCTAGTTTGAGAAGTTGCTTTATGGAACCTTTTACAGTTATGTACACAGGCGGCAACTGTTTGATAGATCATGTTTGTGCATGCTGAATTTGGAAACCTAATGCATTTTTTTCCCTTTTTTAAACCCTAACTCAGGAATGTCAAGGCAGTCTATAAACAAGCGAGTCTCGAACAGAAGAACAAGTGACTGAGACCATGTGCAGGAATCCACAATATTGGGATATGATGACATGCAATCACTGAGTCTGAGTCTACTACTATCTGATCCATGGCATTACCACTTACAACCAACATTCCTGTCAACCAACATTATTACTTGGAATCTCCACCATAAATGTTACTATTCTAGCATTGATGTAATTACTAGAAGCAAAGCAAGAGTACTATGTCAGAGTAATGATGTTATCTACCTCAATAGGTCCAAGAGACATGTCTATCCTGATGTGATTTTCTCGGATATCAGCGAGTGCAGTCATTGCCTGTCGGACATCATCAAGGTCTCGGATTGGTCGTGTCAGTCTCTTAGTGTATTCCTCCACAAACACCAATATGTCCTCCATCTTGTCACGGTATTTGCTATTCAACTCTTTCCCAAACAACAGCTTCCAGGCCTTGATTTCAACTCTTAGGGCCAGTTTCAGAGGTTCTGTAAGATAAAATGAACATGTTTATATCAGGCACATGTTTTGGAGGTTATGAAAGTATGTAATCAATTGCAATATTGTTCAAAATGAAATTGTAAAATAGTGAATTCTGCATATTGAAAAGAAAACATATCTACTACATGAAAATAATCATATTTGCTTCTTTAGATCCTAAATGACAGCTAATACTGTACCAGTGAAGAGTTCTATAGGTCCAACAACTTCTGATACATTGATGTCTTCAATGGAGTTTTCCAGTTTCTTGAACATTGCTATTTTGGCTTTGTACTCAGAAATAATGGGATCTGTTGACAAAAATTCCTGAAACAAAAATGTAATTTTTAGAGTAAAATTGATATTTTATACTTATCCTGACTCATGCTCTTTTGCTTGTCTTCTTCTTCTTGCGAACATAGTGGAACACTTGTATCTCCTTATTTGAAGCTCCCTTCAAAATAAAATCACTAATTGGTACTCACCACGAGTTGCTCCCCTTTGTCTCCCCTGGCGGGAAAAGGTGTCGCCACCCTCTGGCCATGTGCTCCACTCTCTCCTGATTTAGCGAGCCCAACACTTGAATTTACAGGGAAATCCAAAGTGTTATGTGGGGAGGATGGGAGGGCTAACCTCATGAGTCAGGATAAGTATAAAATATCAATTTTACTCTAAAAATTACATATTTTTCCTTATCCTGACTCATGCTCTTTTGCTTGTAGCATCCTACGGAACGGAGGTGGGTAACAGAATACTTTGGATTTATAATTAGTGATTTTGTATAGATATACTGTAATATCCCCTCAGAGAACTTCATGAAGTCTTAGATTTAGGATGTTTCCTGTATAAAGAAAACCATAGGTTATATAAAGCCATTAAGGGGAATTACATTATGAATATATTGAACAATACATATAAATTATATATATATATATATAGGTGACTCTGATAGAGGCACTGAAATTGACTATATCCAAGTATATGCTTAAGGTAGAATACTTAAGCTGAACATATATACATAGCCCTAAAACTCCTTAGAGTTATAAGCTAGATGAGTATGTATAAAATACATATTAATCTTGTGAGGCTAATATTTTAACCCTCTGAGGGACTGTCAGTTGCTGAGCGAGGACCAGTGGTCCGAAATGGTGAATGCCAGAGACATCTTCTGTAGTGATGTCTCTTAGGTAGTGATTAGCAAATACCATGTTAGATTTCCAATAGCATCCTTCCATAATCGTGTTCAAGGAACAGTTACCGTGTAGGGCGAGGGTAGAGGCCAGTGCCCTGATCTCATGTGGATTTGATGCTGTTGGTGGGTCCAAGCCTGCTGCCTTGTAGGCACGGAGAATGACAGTCCTTATCCAAATAGATATTGTGGTCCGTGACACTTCTGTTTGATTCGTGGCGATAATGGGATGAATAAACGTTTGAGAAATCTTCTCCTTATTTTGGATCGTCGTAAATAAACTTTGAGCGCTCTTACGGACACAGTGATAGGTCTTGTGTATCTTGTGATCCGAGAATAGAGGATAAGCGCCGGGATGTGGAATAATCTGTCTGGTTGACCTGGCAGTTGATTCTTTGCAATGAAATCCCATCTTAATCCGAGGTGCGCTGTGTTATGATTGTCATCAAACTGTATCCTCTCGTAATCCAGAGCGTGAATTTCAGACATTCTTGCTGCTGTGGCTAGCGATAGCAGAAACAATGTTTTCTGTGAGAGAAATTCAAAGTTTGTCGATTCCAAGGGTTCATAGACCTCACTCGTGAGGTGTTGTAACACTACATTCAGATCCCAAGCTGGGGCGTGGAACTTCCGCTTTTGGTCCTCCAATCGGAAAGCTCGTAGTAAGGCCAGTAACTCTGGAGATCTTGTCAAATTGACACCCGTTCTCATGGTGATTACAGAGCTAAAGCGGCAAGATATGTTGATATCGTTGAACCTTTTAAATGTTTGTTTTGGCGTAGGTAACACAAATAGTCTGCCACTTGAGGTTGTGAAGCCTCTCTTGCTGTAAACCCTTTCTTTGTTGCATAATTTTCGAAACTGTGCCACTTGTCGTCGTACAAGTTACGAGTTGAGTAACGTAAGGCAAGCGTGACTGCTTTTGCCGCCCTGGCAGAATATCCTCTCTTGTTTAAACACATTTGTATACAGTCCATACGTGTAGTTGGAACATTGCTGGGTTTCCGTGCACTTGTTTGGTGTGAGGATGAATTAACAGGTTTGCGCGCTTGGGTAGCTCCAGTGTTGGTTGACCGATTTCTTGAATTAGTATGGGAAACCACGTTCTGGCCGGCCAGTAGGGCGCGACCAAAGTGAGTTGTAGGCTCTGTGTTTGTCTGATTTTCTGTAATACTTGAGGTATTATTGCTGGCGGCGGAAACGCGTACGCATTGAGGCCTTCCCATGATAGACTTAGAGCGTCCGTTGCCCAAGCTTGGGGGTCTGGGACTGGTGACACGAATGTCGGTAGCTGATTGTTGAATCGCGTGGCGAATAGGTCTATTAGCGGCTCCTAATTGCTTGATTATCTGTGCAAAAATTTCCCGGTTGATCATCCACTCTGTCGGTGATGGTAGATGAGGCCGAGAGAGAGCGTCTGCTAGTATATTTCTGGCTCCGGGAATGTGCACTGCTTTGACATGTAGATTTAGATCTTGTATTAAATCGAACAGTTGAAAGCTTAGGTTCAAAAGGTTCATCGATCTCGTTGAGCCTTGCTTGTTTATGTAGAACGCCACTGTCGAATTGTCTGTATGGATCATTAGGCGCATTTTGTAGAAATGTGCTCCAATGTAGAATGGCGTTGATTACAGCTTTCATTTCTAGACTGTTTATATGGAGTTTGCATTCTTGCTGATTCCATAACCCTGATATCGTGTGGTTGGTGAGATGAGCTCCCCAACCTTGGAGTGACAGCGTCTACATACAGATGGGTTTTGTATTCCTGCTCTGCTAAACAAATCCCTTCGCAGACATTCGATTTCTTGGTCCACCATAGTAGATGTGGTCTGAGATGTTTCGGTAGACTGAATGGTTGTACATCGTTGAGATGTGCGTTGATGAGGACCTGTAGGGGACGTAACTGTAATCTGCCTGTGACAGTCATGTCTTGGGCTGATGTGAAAGACCTAGTAGGCTCTGCCATTGTCGCAGTGGTAGCGGAGAGAGTAGAGCTGGTGGAATGGTCTGTTGTATCTTGAGCCAGCGGTCTTCTGGTACCATATCACGGTTCGCGATTTGTGATGAATCGAATACCTAGGAACTGTAGGTCTTGCGATGGTACTAGGTCCGACTTAGCGTAAGTTTACTAACCAACCTAGTTGTGTTAGTAGCTTTATGATGTAGTTTAACTGTAGTTTGAGGCGCAGTGGATCTTGATCTACTTGTATCCCGTGCGTCGAGGTAAAAGCGCTCGCTCGTAGCCCTTGGCGATGTAGAAATTTGATAATCGGTTTTCGTTATCCTCGTGAATAGCCAGGGGCTGATGATATTCGAATGGGAGTTTTTTCCACTGGTAATGTAGCCCTTCTAGAGTAAATCGTAGGTATTTCCTGGAATCGGGATGAATGGGGATGTGCAAGTAGGCATCCTGTAGATCTATGCTGCCCATGTAGTCCATAGGGACGAATCATCTGGCGTAACTGAGGTAAATGTATCATGCGCGAAACCGGTGGTTTCGCGTAGATAGTTCTTGTTGAAAAAGCTCATGTTGTAGATGAGTCTGTATTTCTCCGTGGAGTTTTTCTTGGGAACTAGGAAAACTGGGGAGTAGAAACCTGGTTCGACGTTTGCTTGATCTATTACTTCTATGGCCTGTTTGGATAGGAGTGATGAGACAGCCTCTTTTATCTTTGGTAGTTGTTGCGCTTGTAAATCGAACTTGGGGGGTTTGATTGTCAGCGGAGGCTTGTCCTGTAGAGGATCACGAAATCCGTGTTGAATAATGTTGGAGGCGTAAGGATCTTGCAGTATTCCCCAGTTTTCCCAGTGTAGTTGGGCGTCCACCCACTTGAGCTGGTTGTACTGGAACGGCTGGGGGTGGAAGACTCCAGTCGTTCCGAACCTGTGTTTCAGCGTCTATAATTGCGGGAACCTCTGGGTGTCCTGCCTCTTCCTGATCCTCCTCTATAGTTGCCATATGGGCGACGAAAAAGAATCTTACCTCTAGAGCTGGCTATCTTCCTGTCTCTTGCTCTTTGTAGGCCCGTGAACTTAGATCTGCCTGAGTATCTTTGTGAAGTCTGACGAATGGCGCTGGCTAGTGTGTCCATCGATCTAATCATAAGGACTTCCCTGGAATCCTTAGAGACTTCCTTGGCGACCTTGTCGATTTCTCCGTCAAAGATGGATGTTGTCGATTATGCGGGGCTGTATAAAGTGGGGCTGTAAAGTTCTCCCCAATTACAGGAGGCGAGGAGGCCTTGACGACGAGCTAAGGTCAATGCTGCTGAAACAGATGTAAGATGATCCGTTAAAAACTGCTGATCTTTCTTTTGCATAAGTAAGGCAGAATAAATCATTCTATCATCTTCCGTCGTGGAATCCGGAATCTAGTAATAAGAGTCTCATTGATGCGTCCTAGATCTATTTAACCCAAAGAACATCACGTCTCGTCATGGTTTCTATATGAGCCAACTTGCGATCATCCATCTTGTAAATCTTGTTCTTTACATCGCTGATGATCTTATAGTTCTCATCGATGTCCTGGGCCTTGTAGAAGGAGTCCATGTTATCGTGGAGAACTTCTTGGCTTGAAAGTTGGGTAGATGTGGTATCTGAACTTTCGTAGCTTTCTGGAAAGCTGCATCTAGATTCTGTGGCACTGCACCAATCAGGGTCGATCGGGGGTAGAGTGATTGCATCTGGATCATCTTCCTTCATCAAATACGTCTGAGCTGTATTGCCACTTTTAGATGGTGATGTGAGATCTAGGTTATTGACCATCAATACCGTATCTCTGCATCAGAAAATATGATTCCTCCATCATCCTCAAAACCATCATCATTAATAAATTGTAGATGCTCTTGGGACTGCGTGTAGCTGTCTGAATATCTGATGAGGTTTGTGGCGATCTAGTTGACTTGTTGTCGCTCTATGTGGAGATCTGATGGGTGTCGACCTGGTGATGAGCGGGTGGAGATGCGTCTATGGGATGATCTTCTAGAGAGACTTGTGAGGTGAATGTTGATAGCTTCGCTTGAAGCTCTTCGGCAGTCCCTCGATGTTCTTCTAGACGATGAAGATCTGGAATCATATGTCTTTCGCGAATGCCTTAGCGAAGCTTCATTCGCGTCGGTCGTCCGGGGATCGATGATATGACCTTGAAAGGCTTCCGTGATGTCTGATGGTCTGAGTCCATATCTAGAGATGAAATCGAAGATGGTGATGATCTCTCCGCCCAGCGAGCGAAGGCTGTACATCTAGGTCCTTCGTCAAGGTGGTCGCGGGACTTCCTTGCGAAGGTGACATCGTCTTGGCTGCTACGTTGGCGGGGGTGCCTCTGGGGTGCTGTCTCGTTGGAGCCTTCCGAAGGCTCGGACCCTGCTAGCGCGGTTTGTAGTGGTCCTCCATGATGTTCATAATCTGCGCATCATGTCTTCTGGGATGATCTGTGGCGAAGTCGTCGGCGTCTTTTCTGCGATGGGGTTCACATCAATGGCGTCTGGCGTCGGTGTAGAAGCATCAGGCTGCATGGAGATCTCTGCAGAAGTCACAGTCGCTGACACGGTCGCTTCTTCTGCCGTAAAGTCGGGGATGATTATCGGCTGATCATCGTAGAGGCCCAACTCTGCTGCTGGAGCGATCTCGGCTGAAAGTTCTTGCTGTCTTCGTGAATTTCCCTTTGGAAGTCTGCGCTGCCCTGGTGTCCTCAATCTGCGTTGAGGCGGCGATGAGGCCCTCTTAGACTTAGTCTGCAATGGCCGGGATGTCTGGGGAGGCGGTCGTTTCTTCGAGGTAACGGACTGCGTCCCACGTTCCTCTGCGCAGGGGTCTCTAGCAGAACACCAGGCGGGAGAGGGTCGATCGCTAGCAGCTGACTGGAAGGAATATCTGGACTCTCTGCCATGTTTGCCCTTGTTTGCGTGATCTATCTGCAGCACGTCTTAAGGCATAAAGATGATATTTATTAAATGCAGAATGAGATAAATTAATGCAGTAACTGCAACGTGAATTAAGCACACGGTAGAACAACTAGGGCATATTACATGTGGATCGGAGGCAGAAAAGCGTAATCTACAAATCGTACAGATTTTCATGAGCGTAAAGCTAGCTGAACAATCCGCGAATACCGTGAATAAACAGTAGAAATACGATAATTAATCAATACAAATAGTAAAGGATACTAGCTATACCTCTATAGTAACCTATGAGAGGTAAAACTAAGAGATTATCAAAGGATATGTGTGTAAGGAGACACAAGGCTCTCACATCCTGCTCACTGGGCGAAGAAGGAGAGTGAAGCACATGGCCAGAGGGTGGCGACACCTTTTCCCGCCAGGGGAGACAAGGCAACTCTCCCAATTAGTGATTTTTATTTTGAAGGGAGCTTCAAATAAGGAGATACAAGTGACTAAAGAAGAAGAAGACAAAAAAGAGCATGAGCATAAGGAAAAATTTAGTGGTGAGTTCGTGAATGGACATAATGATTGTAATAATTTCTGCACAGGTTTGACCTTCTGGGAAATCTTATTTGGACTGGAGTATGACAAGCTGTTCCACTATGTTATGACATTAAATTTAAAAGAAGACAATAAGCAAAGTCCAGCATGCAGCTCAGGATGAGCCTAAGATTATAAATTGAGCAGGGTCCTTAAGCTTTCCTGTGGAAATGTTTTCCATGCTCATGCTCCAAAGAGCTATGCGTATAGGAGTCCTGACTATCGTACTTAGATTGCTTTGTGGCACTGCGTCATGGACCCTTGACTTGTACAGTTATCATAAATAGATAAGTCATCTAATGATCTATGGTTATGCTTCAAATCACTTGGGACAGAGGGGAACATTTCAGCCGTAGGTAAGTAACTCACGGCCACAGACTGGTCTCGGTCCTGCTCCCATAGGAAGGAGAAGTCAGTGTATCTCTGCAACGCCTGAGTCACCTCCGGCTTCAGGTTACTGGTGGCCGATGACAACATCATCACATACTTGGAAATATCCTTGTTGTCAACTACATTCTTGTAGTAGTTTTTCTTAGATGTAGCAAACTTCACTGCTCGAGAAGAAAATCACTTTGTAAGTAGAACGTGAAATGTATATTCCTTTAGACAGAAAGGATCTATCTGGACCTTCTCAAGGACCTTTATTTTGCCCCAGTTCAGTAGAGTATCAATAAAAATCCAAGAATTTGAATAAACTATTTCTCAATTTATGTTAGCATAGGTATTATGAATGAGATGACAGAGTCCTGGTACAACAGTACCAATAAAGAGAAATTACCCAGAACCCTTCCTTTTCAATAACTTCACTAAAATTTTATGATGCCAGATTACAACACAGAGAAAATTATATAAAAAATCCTAAATTTGAACAAAACACATTTTTCCCAAACTCCTACCAAGTACACTTAGTTTCCTAACCCACATTTAATTGCTAAAAGAGTGTTACAAATTCAGAATAAAAGTCAAGAAGTCCTTGTTATAACCCTTAATTATTAAAAGTAAAAGATTCTAGTACAAAACAGACGGTGGTGTAGCCTGGAGTTTAAAGCCCTCACCACCCAAAAAGCAGGATATGATCATGACCTATTTGTATTGTGTGAAGCCTATTTCTTGTGTCCCTGCTGTGATATTACTGAAATACTAAAAGCCACTTTAGAACTGAAGAATTTTACAAGACTTGGGCCTTGTACTGTTATCCTTAATTTGTAATGTGCATCTGTGTTGCTTGCTGCCAAAATACCGGAAGCGTACCTTGCTGAGAGTTCTCCCCATTGCTTTCATCAGTTGCACAGGGCTGCTTGAGAAGGTTAGCTATGCCTTGCTTGTATCTAGTCCACTGTTCGACACCTTTACTGATGTCCAATACAAATTGCGTAGCCTTGTTAAGAGCATGTTGAAGGTCATCCAGGCTTGGTTGCATCACCTGCAGGTACAAAAGATGATGCCTTACAATGACTGGTGGTATTAAGTGTTTCTAAACAAGAGTCATCAGAAGATGACATATCCCCCCGGCCCCCACATCTTTGAAAGAACAAATCATCTGACAGTTACTTAAAGTCTAGCTTGATTTTAGACTAAGTGCAAATCGTTTCCATGGAAATCATGAAAAAAATAAATGACAAAAATCTGCAAATAGCAAAAGGCACCACTTTAGGATCTGCCTCACATATCTGCTAAGTTTTGCTGAAAGATATTAAGAAGTTTTCGCGTTGTGCTCCCGGAAACAAAACCTACCCCTCCCTTTTGAGACTAAGTCCAAATTGTTTCCATGGAAACTGAGAAAATAATAAATCACAAATATCTGCAAATAGCAAAAGGCACCACTTTAGGATCTGATTGATATATCTACCAAGTTTTGTTGAAAAATATTATCACGGTTTTGAGTTGTGCTCGGAAAGCGAAAGCAATGATTACTTTTGAGACTAAGTCCAAAATGTTTCCATGGAAACCAGGAAAAATAAAAATGCCAAAAATCGGCAAATAGCAAAGGCACCACTTAAGGTTCTGTTTCATACATCTACCAAGTTCTGTTGAAAAATATTGAGCGGTTCTTGAGTTATGCTCCGAAGCAAGCCCACCCCTCACTTTTGAGACTAAGTCCGAATCGTTTCCATGGAAACCGGGAAAAGTAAAAATGCCAAAATCTGTAAATAGCAAAAGGCACCACTTTAGGATCTGATTGATATATCTACCAAGTCTTGTTGAAAAATATTTAGCGGTTCTTGAGTTATGCTCGGAAGCAAAACCCACCCCTTCCTTTTGAGAATAAGTCTGAATCATTTCCGTGGAAACAGAAAATAATAAATCACAAATATCTGCAAATAGCAAAAGGCACCACTTCAAGATCTGCCTCACATATCTGCCAAGTTTTGCTGAAAGATATAGAGAAGTTTTCGAGTTGTGCTCGAAACAAGCCCACCCTCACTTTTGGGACTAAGTCTGAATCGTTTCCATGGAAACCAGGAAAAATAAAAATGCCAAAATCTGCAAATAGCAAAAGGCACCACTTTAGGATCTGTTTGATATATCTACCAAGTTTTGTTGAAAAATATCAAGCGGTTCTTGAGTTATGCTCGGAAGCGAAAGCAATCCTTACTTTTTGAGACTAAGTCCAAAATGTTTCCATGGAAACCAGGAAAAATAAAAATGCCAAAAATCTGCAAATAGCAAAAGGCACCACTTTAGGATCTGTTTGATATATCTACAAAGTTTTGTTGAAAAATATTGAACGGTTCTTGAGTTATGCTCCGGAAACGAAAGCAATCCTTACTTTTTGAGACTAAGTCCAAAATGTTTCCATGGAAACCAGGAAAAATAAAAATGCCAAAAATCTGCAAATAGCAAAAGGCACCACTTTAGGATCTGTTTGATATATCTACTAAGTTTTGTTGAAAAATATTGAACGGTTCTTGAGTTATGCTCCGGAAACGAAGCCCACCCCTCACTTTTGGGACTAAGTCTGAATCGTTTCCATGGAAACCGGGAAAAATAAAAATGCCAAACATCTGTAAATAGCAAAAGGCACCACTTAAGGATCTGTTTGATATATCTACCAAGTTTTGTTGAAAAATATTGAACGGTTCTTGAGTTATGCTCCGGAAACGAAGCCCACCCTTCTTTAAGACTAAGTCCAAAACGTTTCCATGGAAACCGAGAAAATAAAAATGACAATAATCTGTAAATATAGCAAAGGCACCACTTTAGGTTATGTTTGACATATCTACCAATTTTGGATGAAAAATATCGAGAGCGGTCTTTGAGTTATGCTCGGAAACAAAATGATTAACGGTCCATAATGTTTCCCCAAGTGATGTTAGCCGAGTGAAGCAAAAGCAAAGCAAGAAACGGGGTGCTACGGAGCAGTTTACTGTAGGAGGCGATGACAACTGACATGCATCGTGACATAGGTTACCAAGGGAAATGATCATACAATCATATTGGCAGACTGTGCTACCAGTGACTTCGCTAACCTGGGTCAGAATTAACTGGTGGTGAAAGATAAAGTATTTTGTTAGCATGGGATGTGTGGTAAGAAATCTCTGTGGAATACTCACAACATTTGGGATGGCTAAGGTGATATCTGCTGTGAAGAAAGACGCTTTGTCCTGAACTGAACTTTTCATGTCCTCAAAGTGACTCAAACTAGGTCGTCGACCACTGAAATAGAGCCACCATAAAGATACTACTTCTATTATTACTCCTACTACTACTACTACTACTACTACTACTACTACTACTACTACGAACATATAATAAAATTAAATTGCTCCATATTTTCCCACAACAAGGGCATTAGCACTATAGTTTGGCATGAAATGCATGTGGACCCCTTTTTTTGTAAATATCTCTTCATCCAATGACCCAATCGATCTCAAACTGTGCAAGTGGATGTTTGGTCAGACAACCTAATCACATTGTAAATCACCGATTTTATGCATTTGTATTAAAGAATCTGTCTATGTAACTGTCAACAAAATAAACAGCAGAACGCAAACTGCTTGCAGAGGGAGGGAGCCAATGACCTGTAACAGCGGCAGTGTTGGGTCATAAAGGTCAACGTTCGTTAATGTAGGTCAGCTAGGCACGTGACAGGTATGAAGAGGTGTTCATTTCTAGCAAATAGCCGGCGAATGACATGTCTGATGACCCTGATGTCAAAAGAATCTAACTTTGGATGCCTACCTTTGTGTACAAGGTTTTGTTTATTGGTTGTTGGTTTATTTTTCACAATTTTTAGCACGATGTTCTTTTTCATGCCAAGAGCCAAAATTGTACGTTTCATGTAATCCGACACCTTATAAATCGGTTTGCTACGTTTGCTCCCTTTTTAAAAAAAAATTCAACACATTTCTAATTAAACGTTTAGCATCATCTGAATAAGCTTTCATGATGACAGCTAGAAGTAGTCAGTGTGAATGATCCAAACGGTCTATCACTGTGCAGTGCACAGGTAACTATCATGAACTGCACGTGCATTTACCTTTATGACCCAACACTGCCGCTGTTACAGGTCATTGGCTCCCTCCCTCTGCAAGCAGTCTGCTGTTTATTTTGTTGACAGTTACATAGACAGATTCTTTAATACAAATGCATAAAATCGGTGATTTACAATGTGATTAGGTTGTCTGACCAAACATCCACTTGCACAGTTTGAGATCGATTGGGTCATTGGATGAAGAGATATTTACAAAAAAAAGGGTCCACATGCATTTCATGCCAAACTATACAGTAATACAACCTGAGTTGATGGATCAGTTTCAGCACCTGAAGGAGATGCTAGAAGATTAACAGCCTCATTACTATCTCATACTACCAGGTACCCATTAACTGCTGACTTTCGTGTGGGGCAGGTCCTAAGCCCTAGAAACTCTCAGGAGTCAGCCATTCAAACAACATTGCTGAACTTCACCTCATTTGCGACCTATGCTTTGTACAGAGGATCATATATGTCTTATGTTCTCCCCTTGTACTACAAATGTAAATCAGGAATAGAGCTATATCAGGATAGAGCTATGTCATATCCAGTGTATGAACACATTACAATTAGTATGTACACGATTCCTGTCTGCTGGTCATGACTAAGTGACAAACCTCTAAGTAAACGCTGTCTTACCAGGCTACTCTCCTCCACATAAATTTGCCACGATTCTCATTTCACTAACCTCATATATTTGAGGAACAAGAGATCATATATGTGTCCTTAAAATTCACAGTAATACTGCATGTGTAGATGTTCCCGAGGGCAAATAAATGTGAGTGTTTCTGGTTTCCAAGCCTTTTTACCCTAAACCTGTTTTGTTCAGTTGCACCAGAACATCAAAATGAGTTGAAAATGCTGTCATTAAACTATGATTACATATAACTATAACAAATTAAAGTGTACCTGTAGAATGTCCATTTAGGTACCATTTCAGTAAGATCTTCCACTGTAATTTTCAGACAATTACATTTCAGCAAACAAGCAGTTTGTCCTCCCTTTCACAGGGCTCCAGATAATTTTTCAACATCAGGAGTATGTACTCCTTATTTTTTCAATACAGGAGTACAGGATTTTCGTTTCATATATGGTCAATAAACAATAAAACAATAATATTTCAGATAAATACGTCTGTACATGATTCTAAGACCGTACACCATTGCTGTGGTGCATATCTGCTACGTTTTCTAAATTATTTCCTACCGTATCATGCATATTTTTTGTCCGTACATATGCCGATACAGCCCTTATCTGGAGCCCTGCTTTCATCTACCCAAGTGGTTGGAGTACCAGCTGAAGCTGGCATGGTCATAAATCAAAACTTACCCAGAGAAGAATCTCTTACGCATGACATCAAGTGAATGTCTGGTAGCACGCAGCAGAGCATCAAGCAGTCTGTGGTTGAAATGTTCAAATAGTTCCTCACAAGCCTCCTTGATCTGTTGCTCAGTGCTAATGTCAAACTCCTCTCGTTTCATCTCAGAATCACGACTTGCAGTCTCTATGGGAACACTCATCACAAGCTCACCATCCGCTGAAACAAGATGGCAATAGTTATATATAACCATCAGAGGATCCCCCTGCTTAGGTTCAGTAAATAAAAAAACCCATGCTTTCAATAAATATGATATTGAAGAAAATTTAATAGTTTAACAGAACGCCTCCCATCTATCATGAATTGTTTTAAGTGAGTGAGTAAGTGAGTTGGGTTTTACGCCGCTTTTAGCAATATAATCCAGCAATATCACGGCGGAGGACACCAGAAATGGGCTTCACACATTGTGCCCATGTGGGGTATCGAACCCGGTGCTTTTGGCATGATGAGCGAACGCTTTAACCATTAGGCTACCCCACCGGCCCTAAAATGTTTAAATGTCACATGCAACGTAAAACACAACTTTACAGATTCTGATAACTTTCAGTATGGACTTAAAGTAACAAATGATCAAAAATGGAAATTCAACTTTTCAAGGTTGAAAAATAACACGAGTTCAAATGATTCACTAAATTCACCCCAGCTGGTGTGAAAAGTGGTTTCAACAGCTGTGCTGCGCTGTACTCTGCTCATGGCGCATGCGCAGTGAATAGGTTAAGGATCTAGATCTACTCAGCTATGTGTCAACTAGTGAGGCGTTCGATATTTCAAGACGGAAAACCTTCGCTGGCGGTGAGTACTCGGTGTAGACTTTGATGTGAGCTATTTTTCACAGTCGTGAGCTTTCTATATGTTATGACAGGAGATTACCGATTTAACTGTTCATATAATTTCATTTGACTATTTCACCACACGTTCTTCTTACCGAGTCACTTTCTCAGTGCGATACTTAATATCAATGCCATTATTTAGCATTGTCAGAATTTCTAACTGTGATATAGATATGCCTCTGTCACAGACAAACTCAGTGTCTGTTTTATTGACACCGATGTGTCTGCCTGCCTGTCTGCTCATGACAATATGCAATACACAACTTCGATCACTGACCACATGCAATTTGAACTTAACACCAATCAGGCTATACACTACAAACAAAACGCATTGATTATGGCTCGTTCACCCGAGTTCTGTCTCTGTCACATTATGTTATTACACAAAAAGGCAGGTGTGATACTTGTACACATGACATGTTAAGGTGTCTGTTGATTGCAAAATGTTATACATAAAAAATGAGCATGTATTTACAAAGCCCAACATCTCTATACACACACAAAGAGTGTATCGGCAAATGAACCAGCCAATGAAAGCCTTCGTTCCACTTAAGTGCACACCCACCCGCTCTGACTGGGTTCAGTATCCCGGGTGTTTCGTTTCGAGGGAAGTAAACCCAAGTACAAAATATTGCACTTTTGATTTGCAACTACACTTATAATTTTGTTTTTTTGTTTTTTCCATAATCAGCAATGTATATTATATGTCATGAATAAGTGATAATTGTGTTTTAATTATGTTGGTTTTTTGGTTGCATGTGACCTTTAAGTATAGACAGACTATATTCCAATGATAGCAATACCTTCACAAAATGTTCAGTGGGTAATTGAGATTTTCTGCTACAGTATTTCCTACCGATACATGTAATCTTTACATTACAAAAATTACAAGTAACCCTTTTGGTCAAATTAATGTCTTATGTAATATGCTTCAAAAAGTTGCAGACATGAAAATGTGTTATAAGTTGTGACTGAAATAACACACACACACACACACACACACCCACACACCAAAGTAAGTGACCCCCCTGCATGTCATGTACAAAATCAATGACACCCTCTCAATACATGTGTACAAAATTGAATGTCCCCTATCTCCCCAGAATAAACTGGGTGACCCCTACCCCCTTAAAATCATCATCCCCAGGCCATAAATTAGGTACGGTCCCTTAGTAAACATTGAGTAGTGTATTACTCACAGGCGTCAACATCTTCCTCTGGTCCATCAAAAGTGACTGAGGAGCCTTCAAGTTTGGCTTTGTTCATAAAGATCCGGATCAGTTCAATCACTGAATCCTCTACTGTCTGACTCAGTCTGTTCAAGTCTTGGGATGTTCTTTCACAGTAGCTCTGAAATGTCCAATACACAATCTCTGATTACATTTATGTTTATAGTTTGCTAGGTTTACTCCATGACGCAGACCTCCCAAAACGCAGACCTCCCAAAATGCAGAAAAAAGTAGCACACTAATTAATTGGGCCATGCTGGTCACCCCTAATTAATGAATGGCCTGGTCTACTCTGATATGTCCTGACCAGGTCAAGTTGCTGTCTAAAATCTCAGGTCATTTTTTTTTTTGAGAGTGGTGAAAGTAGTTCAAACTAGTAACCACTGTCTTGATGCTAATTTTTTCTTTTCCTTGTTTCATTTGTGACAAATATTATTTATTTTGTCATGATTAAATGTTTTTATTAAAGCTGAATCAAGCATAGTGATTTTGTTGTGTTTTTGCCTCATAAGTCAAGTATTAACTCCATTATAAGTAGTTTTTTGTTTAAAAAAACTTCTTGCAATATATGGCAATACATATCGCAATATATGATTTCGCATCGCAATATATCGCAATATGAAAATTCTCTGCAATACCCACCCCTACAAATTCGAGAATAAACTGTTCAACCGACCAAAACACTTCGATCATGCTTTCAGTCTAGAACAAAAGTTTAGATAGTGTTACAAGTAAGAATGTCACACAAATGCAAATTTAATACTATAACATATCATGGCTTATCAATGTAAGGATGTTTTTGAATGTGGTATCGTATTGTGGGTCATGCATCGCGGTACAGGGAACATCGGTGTATCGTTTCACCCTTAGTACTGGAGGTGTGTGGACGGATCATGCAGTGGCAAATGCACAACAGTCAGAGACTATGTTCGAGGCACGTCAGAACACAACCATCCACCTAACAATGACTGAACAGTGAGATTTGTCAGCGTCATAAGGAAGAGAGCCAGAGAAGAAATGAAATGAAATAAAGGATCACTTGCTACATTGTCAAAACTCGTTACATGGGTGATACCATTTTTCTTAATCAAGGGTAGAGCCTACTAATTAAGGATGCAACCAACCATAACAAGTGTTGTTTTAACGAGTCTGCATTTTGGGAGGATACCGTTTGCTACATTTCTGTGTCTAGTTGCAGCTCACACGTAATGAATCCTGGGCCAGATGATCAATGAATAAGCCCAGTCCCCTGGACCAGTCATTGAGCCAAATCAAAGAACCAAATGTAGTCAGACATCATAACCAACAAATGTGTTCTGGGGATGTATTCCAGATTTCCACATGATCAGCCTTAGAAGTTTGACATATTTCAAGAACAGTTCAGTAATTCTCAGTGTTTGAATCTAGCATCTAACAAAACAAATGTTTACCCATTTTACATATTACATCAGCTTTATTCAGTTATATTTTGAAGCAAAATTGATGCACTGAGCTCTGGTTCAGGAATATCACCCTGTAATGCTACTGGTAGTAGTAAGATTACTGGATTTTCACTTGTACGCAGCACTCATTGTAGTCTCAGACTAGCTGACTAGTAGGACGAATCCATTATGAGATGAATATGATACATGTCACAAATATTGGGTAACGAATATGAATATAGAGTAATGAATACAATAACATGTCAGCAGTTGATGTATTATTCAATGTATTCAATGAAACAATAAAAAAGTATATTCTTTGATGTGTTTTGCCCATGATGACAGTGTTAATTTATCAGAATGATAAGTGACCACATTAATTTCGAATTAAGTATAGAAGAATGTTTAGTATTATCTTGCCTGGTTTGGATACATTCCATTTTGCATATCTCACTCTGATAAATAACACCAAATTTAAGCAAAAACACTCCTTTTAAGAAATTCATTCGATTCTACTAATTGGTAATGATGAACTGAATTCATGAAGGGATATGGTTTTATTCACTGAATACCAAGTGAATCGTAACAGTCCAACTGACTAGCATGAATTTCAAACGCTGATTATGCAGAAATTCTGCCTAATTGACACATTATTTTCAGCATTGTACTCACAATTCTATTTTCAATGATTCATTATTCATATAACATTAAAAAACATGTTGGCTGATGATAACAAAGTTTGTTGATACAAAACAGTAGTGGTGGTCCGATTAATGGAAATAATCGAAGATTGGTCGCAGTGACTAAACAACCAAGCAATCAATCATGTTATTTCATAATCAAACACAAACAATTCTGGAACACTTTTTGCATTAAGAATATTTTTCACAAGGTTGGTTTTGTCAGTTACATTTCATGAGCACTACAAACTCGTTCCAAGTCATGATTGAATTTATCTTAAAGACCCCAAGAAATTTATGTTCCTAACATACTAGTCATCCTTTCAAGATGTGAAATTTGCCAAAAAAATCCCCCAAAAGAACTACATGTTTTTTCTTTATGGTTTTGTGCATCAACAAAAATAACCAGGAAAATTTCATAAATGACGTTAACCAATTATGTTCGATTATTGATCGGTTGTAATGAAGCAATCATCAATTATGAGATTTTAACCAATTCCCAACACTACAAAACAGTCTGGAGGGTCTCTATATTATGTCCATTTCCTTGTTATTCCAAATTAAAGCAATTCAGTTTCATCTACTTACTTTGAAAATGAGAACAGATCTTGGGGACTACAATTTCAATAAATACTGCAGCTAGCCAATCAAAAGAAAATATGGGAAAACTAACTGAAATTTGTTAAGAGTTTTTAAGAATCTCATTTATTTCTGATGATTACTAAACACTAAGACCCATGAGTCATTTGAACTCCCGAGGAATTGTAAACTAGAGCCCTGTTATTCTAACCCAGTTCCTCACAAACCCAATGCTCTAACTATAATAGTTCAGGGTAAAGCTATACATCATTACGCTAAACAAGGGGGTCCAGGTATATGACAGCTGCCTATAAAATATTTAATCAAGAAAGAAAAAACAGTGATCAATATTGTGAGCAAAAATACACACCATTTGGGTACAATGACATTCTATCAACTGTCATTGCCATTTGTTTACCTCTTTAGAACCAGCATAGTTTTGCTGGGAATATACAAAACTGGCATGCATAATAAATAAACTCAGTAATATTTGTTACACTGCTATACTGAGTCTAACGAACCCAAATAGAAGGTCCTTTTGAATTGACCAATGAGAACAAAGCTAACCAAATCGCAAAAGTTAACATTCCCACATACTGTTTGAACTTTTACCTCAAAAACTTTTGTACTTGGAACAATGTCATTATTCACAACTGAGTAAACAGTCGCTGAAAATAGCGTTTTTGTCAATATTCCAGGATGTCATCTTGCGGAAATTTAAGCTAATAGTGAGTGAGTTAAGTTTTACGCCGCTCTCAGCAATATTCCTTTAGCTAATAGTAACCATGTCATCAGAAAACCCAAGCGTATATACCACAGGTTAAATACCTGTGTTTTATGAGGATTTTCGTTTGTTGAGAGATCGGTGTCAGCAACCGGGGAAGAGGAAATCCAAAAACATTTTGTAGGTCCCGTCGAACCCTAAATAGCAGCAGTTGTCTGATTGGTTAAATCCGTTGGGCCAGCTCGCGTTTGATTGGACAGTCATAGGTGGCTCAAAGGTTAGCTGACATGACCTTCGCCTAGGGTTTGTTAGACTCAGTATAGCAGTCTAACGAACAATACTGGGCCTAAGTTTACTTAGACTTAACTACAACACTGAGTAATTGGCATTAGCATGGTAAAAAATGTATTTTCAGTGGTCAGAAGATTTTCCACACAACTGCCATCTACAAAATTGTTAAAGTGATAGTCAATAAGCCTAAATACTAGCAAGATATAGAAAAAAAACCCTCAAATGTTCAAATTTCTACCAGCCCTTGGACTACTGTTAACATTTGTGAAACTGGCTAGGATGTATGGGCTAGAGAGAATTTATAGAATTCCTGATTATGTTTGTGTGATGCTAGACCATTAGTAAACATACTTCCATGTTGTGTAGAAACTCTTTCAAAGCCCATGGGGACCTGTCTGGGAGATCGCACAACAGACTCTCACTCACGTCCGTTAGGATCTTGTCGATTCGTGTCACTTTGATGTCATTCACCTGAATAATATCAATTACAAAATGCATAAATGACAAAAACACCTTGATAAATATAGATAGTATACAGTATAGAATTCTTCAAAAGGTGTCTCCCTTCATGGGATGAGAACCTGTGGTACCATGAGAACCCATGTCATTTTTCATAAACTCAATAAGCACAAATATTGTTTCCAACATTTTACATATCTCACTTCAAGTGTTGTTTATTACTCTTTGGTCTTACAGAGCAGTAGTTTTCTGGAATTTTCACAAAATAAGAGAATAGCTGCTGTTCCATTGTTTTCATTACTGAGATGCAGTAAATTTGCAACATGATATCACATGAACAGAATGAAATATGCTGACTGAGCTTGTGTGTTGTTCTGTAAAAATGGACACTGGAATGTTTCCATCTGATCAAGCTGACAGGACAACAGTCTAATGTGAAAGTTACAAATTTTAAAATTAAAACTAAGCTTCTGACCTTAGGCCAAAATATATATTATGTTTCTGGTTTCAATATAAAGATCTACAAAAGTTCAGCACAGTGATGTCTTAACTGTTCTTGACATGCCAAAATCACCATACCATCTGACACACACACACAACCTGCACAGTCATGAGATTTTGCACTGTGCAGTTTTTTGTAAGTTGGGTTTGGTTAAAGTAGGTCAGAGATATCTGATTAAGTTCAAAATTAAGGAATATGAAAAGATCTCCAAATTCAGGGCATGCAAAAAACATTTTCCCATGCTGCTCTGTTAAACTATAAAAAATAAACTGATATGCAAACAACTACCCAACTGTCATGACTTTCTGATACAGGTGTGGAGATAAGACTCATAATGGAAGCAATGAAATGGTGATAACACTATAGCTGGATTATATACACATTCATTTCTTCTAAATCTGAAAAGAGAGTTCAACAGTATTATTCAAACCTTTCATGCTCAAGTGCAAACACTACTTCGCCAACAGATGTTTGCTACAGATATGGAAACAAACCGTACTTCTATCTTTTGCTCCTTGTCATTATCATGAGCATAAACAAAGACAGAGCAAAATATTTTCTCAAGTGAGAGCATCATTTGTTGTCCCTAGGATCTTGAGATTGATATATGGGTCATTTTCAAAATTGGTAGGATTTTCTGTCCGTTCCAAATAAAAAAAAACTCTGTTAACTTAAAAGGATTTTTTTGTGCTAGAAAACATATTTAGATGTTTACTAGTCAGTATATGTGGTATATCATTAGTCTTGTCATTTTGAAATTTATATTTAGCCACATTTTAGGGTCAAAATTGGCAGATTTGCTCTGTCCGGAGGTGATGGTCCTAATATCAATGTTCACAAATAATGTAAATTTAAATGCAAATAAACAAACTAATTCATATTATGCCAATTAGGATTGAACAGGCATACTCAAACTGCATTTAATTTTTTTTTAACTTAAAAAAGTTTTTTTCTACAAATTGTAACATGCTTGTCCTGTGATTCTGTGTCCTGACCGTTACCAGTGTATGAAATTCCAGCAATAATTTCCCCCCTGGAGCTGGATTGTAATACTACTTCCTGTGTCTGCTTGAGCTAGCCCCTGTGCATGTGACAGCAGATGAAATAATGAAATTCAACACATTTTGCAGAACATTGACACCATCAAATACGTATAAATGTTATGTGTCAACCTTAATTGTCCAGACCGTTACCAATGTATTTTGTGTCAAATATATCCCTTTGATTTTTTAAATTTCAATGGATATGTTACCCAGAAATGGAAGAGGTGGAAGGCATGTCCTTTGAAATCTTTTAGGGATCATTCATTTTTTTATTTTAGATTTACTTACAAATTGTCTTGACCATTACTGTCCAAACGGTTACCATTCTGCAAAGTAACGGTTTGGACAGTCCTTGTAACGGTCTGGACAAAATGATTTGTATTTCAAAAACTTGTTCATTAATATTTGAAATATAACAAATTTATAATTACTTTAAGGGTTAAGATAAGTTTAAGCATGGAATTTTACTGTTCAAAGGAGTTTTGATGTAGTAGCATAAAAAAAAAGTCTCTAGTAACGGTTTGGACAAATAATAGTAACGGTCTGGACATATCTTTAATAAATTTCAATTTTAAAGAATATGTTCCATGGTGTGATAATAATTTTCTGTTTACTTATCTATCTGCTTTAAATAATAAAAACCAAAACGAATTTAATACATTAAGTTTCTATTTTCTATAAGATCTATAGTCTTTATAAATTAAAGGTAACGGTTAGGACATCTATGGTAAAATTTTGGACAAAATGTAGTAACGGTAAACAACTTTCAGTATTCCAACCTTTAAAGATTTAAACTGTTTTAACTTTAACTGTGAGATATGTAAGGCTACCATTTACTTTGAATATTTGCTAGGTGCTAATATGTTAATATGTGTTACCATCTCACGATTAACAAAAACTAAAGGTATCCGAGTGAATGAAAGAAGTATATTTCGTGGAGACTAATATTGCACCATAGTATCAACAGCAAAATGATATCTATGCAGTGGCCTGTGTAGCATGACCATGTGTACAGTATCATAGTTGTTGCAGTACCTTTCAGAATTTAATCTTTTCCAACTTTTTAGAGGGATAACATTTGTTTGTTACACTGATGTCCTGACCGTTACCAATGATGTCACAACCGTTACTATTCATTCAATTTTCGTTCCCCAATTGCACTCTTCTTTAGATTATAAGTGATTTTCAACCCTAGACAGGTGTGTTTTTCTATTCTTTAGAAGCTACAGTTTGTTTTATTCAAAAGCCTAAATTCATTCACAAGTTTCATATTGATATAACAAATGTCCAAACCGTTACCACAGCATGGAAGAAAACATGTCACATTTGTTACAAGTTGCAATTTCTAATACACATTTCACTGTCTGTTCAAAATAGGGTTAGCAATTGAAGTAAATGATATCATTTTTTCCCTTCATGTTACCTGTTTCTATGTTGAATTAAATTTTTTAAGGTTTATGTCCAGCCCGTTACCATTCCTGTCCAAACCGTTACCACTATTGTCCTAACCGTTACTGGTGTTAATTGACTGCTGTAATTAATTCATGATAATACATGAAACACTCCTCTTTATGCTAGTGTCATCAAAAGATGTCCTCGGCTTAGTAGCTGATGTTTATTTTAGACAATTTTACCTGTTGAAAGCTCTATGCATAATAATGTTTTAGAAAAATGCAATTATTTTGTGGTAAATAAATGAAAGATACAAAATAACACTTTCAAGATTCATGATAATAGTTTTTACTTTCAAGTTTGATTAAGTCAGTGTAAAAGCTGTGCATGCCATCTTTAAAAGATTTTTATGAATTATAACTCAAAATCCTTATTCTGATTAAGAAATGGTAACGGTCAGGACTTTCCCTCACCCTATTAATTACTTATGTATCAATTAGAAGGTCAATTAGTAAATTTGAGCCTGCATGTTTGTATTATTGAATAATTAAGTATTTGAGATTTCATTTGAATAAAAACTAAATCAATTTTCAAGAGATTGATTTTTCTGTAATACAGAATTGAAAATCCTACCAATTTTGAAAATGACCCATATATATATATAGTGATAGGCGTGCATTGAAGTTATGTATACCTGTTTGACAACCAGGTGCAAATCCTTCAAGGCAGAGGAAACTCGAGCAATAAACTGAGGCAGACTTAGTGATGTCCAACAGTGCGACACAAGTCCTGGCTGCATGGCTACATCAACCTGAAGGCAGAATATTAGCGCCACAACTATCATATGTCTGTGTTAAAGTATGGCTGTTACAATCACCATAGCATTAAAACTGTTGATTGCAATTTTATCCTGGGCCCTATCCCATCAAAAATCCTTGCCTTTGGATGACAATAACTCAAATTCATTAACTGTATTTTTAAGATTGCTCTGTGGGTAGGGTCTTGAACTTAATGAGAACTTTCATGTCAGTTACTTGCCAGTTTAGCAATGTTGGATATTTAGAGGTGTAAATTGTAAGGATGACCAACTCCAAATAGAATCCACACTGGGCATTGATAAAAGTAAAAAATGGAATATCACTACTGGAATCAACTTGTCAGTATATATATCTAAAGACACACAAATGAGATGCTGTCCTCATCAATTTACCTTTTTCAGTGATGGGCCCAACAAGACAAGGAAGATGTTGGGTATTTGGGATCTCAAGGATGTATTTTCATCAAGCAGCATCTTGAAAATGGACAAATAAGAAAATATAATGTCAAAACATAGAGACATTTTCAGAAGTATCTGCTCATGACACATTTTATCTGATACTGTCATCAGGGAAAATAAAAGGAAGAGCACTATGTTAAATCTGAGCCAAACCAATAAATTGATTTTGAATATAATGCAGAATGAAAAGGCAGGATTTGGACCTGACTGCTTCCATCCTAGGTCGGAGCCCTGCGCTACAGTGACAGAGAGATGGAAATAGGAATTCTAACATTAGATTGAAATAGCACTCACCTGAATAGTATTTCACACAAAACAAAATCATCTTCCAGATCTATGTGGCAAATATAAGTGGTACTCCTGCTCATAATTGATCAAGTTTGTATAAATCTACTTTGACATATCACCAGCAAATAACGAACTGACTATAACTTGATGAAATACTCTCTTTTTTCCCCCGTTTACATCTATCTATTAGAGGCTGGCCTGTATTAGACACCCAGAGTTTGAGGAAATACAGTATACAGTTCTAATGGATGCAATGTTTTTATGGATAAATATGTCGGTTATTGTCGAATGTCGAAATGTACCTGTATCTGGTTGAGAATTGTCCGGAGCTGTTCTGTGGAATGAATGAGCAATTTGGCTGCATCAGGAATGTCCAAGTCAAGCTTTACCATATATTCAGCTTCCTTGATCACCTCAAATATGTATGGGTCAAAGTTGGTTAAATATGTGTCTGTTGTTGGGTTGCGGACAAGCACAGGAACCTGCAAATCTGAAAGAAGACAAAAACTACAATTAAGGATGATACAAGCATCTTAATGAGTTTTGTTGCTGACAGAAGTGCATTGATAATCATGTAACCACTAAGCAAAGCCATCTAAATATTTGAGTCAAAATGTCAAATGAGAGATAGATTATGCATGATCAAATGAATCAGAAACTAGCAGACACCACCTATGAAAGAATTAGTTACATTTACATCAACATTATTTATACTGAAACAGACCCGTGAAGGTCTGGGTTAGAATATTGGCCTTCAGTAATCAATGCTTGTCGTAAGAGGCGACTAATGGGATTGGGTGGTCAGGCTTGCTGACTTGGTTAACACAGGTCATCGGTTCCCAATCCGCGCAATCGGCTCATGCTGTTGATTACTGGATTGTCTGGTCCAGACTCGATTTGGTTCCCATATCTGGAAAATTGCTGAGTCGTATGAAACTCAACTCATGCAATCATATTGATACATAAGGCAGTAGGTTTCTAAGTTCTATGGGCGATATACATTAATGTAAATCCTAAATGAATCCCTGGCACTTTGAGACATTACAAAAACTTGTGGCCTGACATGTTTTCTATTTCATTATGTGATCAGCATTTCAACTGGTTAAAACACTGATCACACAATATAAGAAAAGAAGATTGTTTACATAAGCCTAGATATAAACTGAACATGGAAGACATGTCAGCCCACAAACTGCTTTCTTAATCCAGATTTGTTTCTTGGTATTATTTATCATTTATGTAGATTTTAGTGTTACTATATGGCAGAACAATTTCTAGTTGAGTGTACTAATCAAATTATTATTTCCAAGATTCAGGCTTTTAAGGAATTCCTTAGGTCTCTATATCTGCAAGTCCTTCGATCTTTGACCATTGTACCAACAGCAAATAGGATACAAATTATGTATGATGCCTCATGTTTCTTTCAGGAAGGAATTTCCTACTTTGAATTGAAACTTTATGACAGTACATAAAACATGGCTCTCCAAATATCGATTGTTTCTTATTAGATAAATCAAAATCTAGTGTTTCAGTTTGTGTATTGGATGGAATATTTACTGGGCTTTGGACAAGCACAAAAGATGCAGGCTTCACTGGAGGCTATGTACTTACATCCATTAGCTAGTTCCACAGACTTCACCCAAGCAGAATGGTAGAGTATTTCATACTCCACTAGCACCTTGGCCACTCTGTTGTAGTTCCTAATGATTTTCTTAGCATCGTCCGAAGATAAGCATGTCGGATGTACCTATATGCAACATGAATACACAATGCCATTTTAGAAAGTGGTCAAATGTAACATACGTCATATTTGGTATTACACTTTCTTAGTAAAGTACAAATTCTAGTCGGACAACTGGTATTCTAGACTGCGGAATTTGTATACCCCTCTGAGAAGTGTAAATTGGCACAGCTCCCACGGCCGAAAGCAATGATTACACAATGCCATTCTAGAAAGTGGGAGCTGTGCCACTTTACACTTCTCGGGGGGGGGGGGGGAGAGGAGTCTAGACTACCAGTTGTCTGACTTCCATTTTTGTGGAAGTAGCGTTGGCTGAGCGGGTTAGGTGACTGACATTGTGTGCTGGCGATTAGGAGCCTGACTCTGAGGGTTTGGTTTTGAATCCCGGATGGGACTGGTCCCCCAGCCCTGAAAAAACAACAACAAACAGTACTATCTCTGATCTATCTCTGATCTATCAGTTTAATGACCCATGATAAAATCTCAGATATTATTTGAATATGATCTAAGGAACACATCACCTTCAACAACTGAATGCTTTCCTACCCTGAAGATGTCCATGGGGTCATGTATCCGCTGAAATAGCTGGCGGATCCAGGTGATTCTCCCTGCCACAGGTGGCATGTTTCTGGGGATGGGAGGGTCATCCCGATATTTCTGGTACAACTGTAAATGGAGAATGAAAAAAGATTTAACGCAACCAATTTCTACATTATCTACAAGGGCTGAATCAAAATACCACACAAACTAAACCAATTCAATACAATACAATTGTTGAATACCACTGGTCATATCTATCTAGTCCACAGCTCATTTCTGGCAAGTGGTTTATGTTATAGAAGTGTAATGATATATTGAACTATACTATTGATACATTGCAACTATTGTTTTATCTGCAATTGTACTATATCAGTAGGAATATTTAAATACTAACAGTACAACTAACAGATTAAAAAGTGGCAATTAGTTATAGTGTCTCAAAATGTCTAACCTTCAGTGTGTTGACTAACTTCCAGTAAGCATTACTTATAATGTATGACTTGACATATCTACATAAATATTGATGTCACCTTGCGTATATCTTCAACCTCTCCTCCATACTTTGCCAGTATTGATGAATATTTCTCTTCAATATTCAGCTTTGCAATGTTCAGTTTCTCAAAACTGAAAAATTAAAAGATGATTTTGTTTTTTAAAAATGCCATAGATATTACAGTGTTGATGCTAATGTCAGCTGGTCTGTATGAAATGTAGTTACACTATTTCTGAAAATTGTCTGACGATGTAATTGTCTCTGACAAAATAATCTGATTGTTCCTTGACATTCTGCAATACTCCAGCTTTATCACAGCAGTCTGAAATGATGATTTTCTATCAACCAAGACACTTAGCCTGAGCATCTGATCCAACAAGTATAGGTTATTTGTGTCCTATTTAACTTGGAATACCTACAGGGTATTGATTGAAATGGGAGGACTAGTGTTTGTGAACAACAGGACCAATGCTGGAGGACAAGAGGACTAGTTTTAACTTTCAATTCTCATTTGTTACATACATCAGGTCGTTTAGCCCCAGTTTTGTCACAAGCTTTGTATAATGTAGCCATTTCTATATCTTATCATAGTGTATAATAAAGGTTGTGTCTGATATCGTTGTGGACATTTATATAAACCCTGCATTTCTGACCTCTATTGCATTGTCACACTAACAGGGGTTGCATAAAAAGCAAACTCTTGTGTCATGTTGGTCTCTATTTGTTTAATTTAATATGCTGGGAAATTGATACTCTGACATCTGATCTGTTCAACTCTCTCGGAATCCTTCAGTTACACCATGCAGATGAAAGTTCATGACCTTCAGGTAAGATATCAAGTAAAATCACTAACTTCAGTGAAATTTTGACTGTACCTTGAGAGGAGTTCCAGGGCCATCGAGGTAGAACTGACTCTCTTGAAACAGCCATCCATGAAGGTTTGGATGTTTATCTGTAGGCACAGAACAGATGACTTTCCACATTCTTAATAACAAATAAATAACTTCCCATTCCATGGTTAAACATGTTAAAGGGGACTGTCTAAACCAAAATATTGTACATTTTTTTTAGCTGTGTTTATACTATAGAAAACATGTTGACATCTTTGCAGGCCAGGGGCGGTATTCTTAAAAGGACATAAGTCTAAAAAATGACTTAAGTTCCCAATAAAAACTTAAGACTTATGTTTTTTCTTAGTCATATTCACAAAAAGTATTAGACTTAAGTTTGTGTAATTTTCGACTTAAATCCTAAGCCTGCTGTTGGCTAGGCTTAACTCTATGTATGTAACTTAAGTCAGTTGACAAAAATGGCCGCCAGACATGCCAATAGAAGAATTTACTGTCCAAGAAGTAACCGTTTTGAGGACCTTAGTGGTGAAGAACTCATTAAACGGTATCGTTTAGACAGGGGCGGACATACAGTTTGTAATTGATTTAATCTCGAATGCCATTCAGCCTAACACAGCAAGAAATCATGCAGTCGATGCCACTGTGAAAACACTTTTGACATTGCGCTTCCTAGCAACAGGAAAATTCCAGCTATGTAATGGTGATGACCATGGAGTTAGTCAGCCTACTGTGTCCCGTGCTGTACATGAGACTGTCAGTGAACTGTCATCGCACCGGATTCTCACTAGATTTGTTCGTTTTCCGACACAACCCAACGAGATCCACAGGAATCAAATGGCGTTCTATCAGGTGGCCCATTTCCCCTGAGTTATTGGTGTTATTGACTGCACTCATGTGCAGATTCAGGATCCTCGTGTCAACGAGCATGTTTATGTAAATAGACATCACTACCACAGTATCAACACACAGGTAGGGACCTATAACTTATCTTTCTAATCACACGTCAATTCTTATGAGTTTATCAAATTGCTTCAAATAAAACAGCTATCTTCATTACTTATGTAAAGGTTTTTCAAGCTGTCATGTTGGTAAATATTCACATCGTGTATCCTTACCTTAGAACATTGTATTTTCAACAGGCAGTGTTTGATGCTGACGACAAAATAACTGACACAGTTGCACGGTGGCCAGGTTCAACGCAAGACAGTCGGATATTGACACAAAGCGGACTGCACCGCTTGATTGAGGGGAATAACCTGCCAGCCGGCGCTCATCTACTCAGAGACAGCGGATACCCTTCAAAGAGATGGCTCCTGACACCCTACCTGCGACCACAACCCGGCCACCAGACAAATCACAACAGGTAACTTTACTGTAAACACCGAACAGTCGTCCAAAGTTTATCTAATTAGAGTTAGGGTAATGTACAAAGCTGAAATGGGGTGTGTCTAAAAGAAGATTGTGGTGGAAAATTTAGATGCTTATTTAGATCTAATAATAACCAGACTGATTAGTCATTTTCACTTTAAACAGTTTTGAAAAAAGTCCTATTACTTGAATAAATTAGAATTACTTATAGCGATTTGAAATTTTATGTTATTATTATTATTATTTGTCTCTGGTTAATCCTGTAGATTATTAAGCTATCAACACATATCTCTTTCCAGATCACATAAGAGAACAAGAAGTTCAGTGGAAAGGGGATTTGGCCAATTGAAAAGAAGGTTCAGTGTCCTTCATGGGGAGATGAGACTTTCACCAGAAAGAGCATGCAAAGTAATTACATATTTTTCTTTCATTTGCTTTTATGCAATGTATCATTTTAAAATGTATATAAGTAATGACCATGGATCTGTTTGTGGCAATACAGTATTTTTCAGTCAAGAACATGTTATGTATTATTTGAAAGGTATATATATACAGGTTTTTATGTGAAAATGTTTTATGCAACAATTTGTTGTAAATGTAATTTGTAATAAGAATGATAACATCATTAATTGTGAAGTTAAGAGCTGAAAAAATTATGAGCAAGAAATTCATGTGATTTATAACTTTATAAAACTGGCTTTCCATTTAGGTCATCACTGCATGTGCTGTACTGCATAATATTTGCAAAACCAGGAATATTCCGCTTCCAAATCTCGATGGCAACCACAGGGTCAACCCTCCCCCACAAAATGGACAACTAGTGCTGCCTGCACAGGGTAGCATGGGAGTTAGATACCGGCATCAGTTTGCAATTACAAACTTTCCTTCTGAGTTTGTCAAAAATGTCTTTTTAATTAGTTTCTTTCTTCTTGTTAATCAAACAGAAACAAAAAGTTTCATTTTTGCAATATATCATGACAAAGTGCAAAATAAGCTGTTTTCCAGGATATCGTCCCCCTTTTTCTCCAAAAATTACCAAATGATTAAATTTCAAATATGCAATAGTGAATCCTTGTAAATTTCCCCAGTGATGAAATTAAAAGATCATCATTTGAAGGAATTTGTAGGCTTGGATATGCTGAAAAAATCCTAAATTCGCAGACTGCATGGCATTCCTAAATCTTGCATACCAATTGAGCAAGAAATAAGTTCTTTTGGAATGAAAACATACAATTTGTTCAGTTTCAAAGTTTAATCAAAGGCAGGTATTATAACTGTGAATCACTCTTCCATATTAAGTTTCTGCTTGAGGTAACGCTTCTTTAACTTAAGACATTCCACCTCTAACTGCAGTCTTTCTCTCATCAGAGCATGAAGTGGCTGAAGTGGCTGAGGCAGCTGAGGTTGTGGTGGGACCTGTTGATAGAGCTGAGGTAATTGAGGTGATGGACTTGGAATGTGAAATACCTGTGCTGGTTCACAAACTTGTTCACAAAATCTGCAAAGGATAAAGAATGTGAAACTGAAATACAGAATTAAAAAACAAAACAAAGTGGAATGTGTTTTTCTTCTCTTTTCAGTCCAACAAACTCTGAATATAATTCTTTTGATTGAAGTGTAAATTATTTGTCAAATTTGACAGGGAACAATGAAACAGATTGTTTCATAGATTAAACTGTCATAGATTAAACTATTGGAATTTATGTTAGAACCTTTCATCAAAGATATATTTTGTGATTGTTTGTTTTGTCAAATTATTGATTTCCATGCTTTTGAAACTATCATACTAAACGAAAAAGCAGGTATGCATTCTAATAATTTTATAATTAGAGATGTGGCATTAAGTACGATACAACTATAATTGGGATTTGATCCACATACATCTTGATCCGTAGATGTAGATGTACACGCTAATCACCAAATCCCATCCCGAATCAATATTAAATTCATAATAATGAATATCGATATTTGTTGCAAAGTTAACTGTTACTTCATTACATTATACACTTGTGTATACTTTTTGATATTCTTATCTCTAATTGATTCATTTAAGGTTGTGTTTTTTAAATCAGAATATGTTATTTTTACATTTCTGTATTGACACATGTAATTTCCTATGTCACATACCCTTTTTGGACTGGTTGCATATTCAAGATTTGCAGCATTGTGGAGTCCATGGTCTGATTAATCCCTCTTAGGATTTCATTTTCTCTGCCAATGACGTCAATGACATTGTCAGTAACGGGGCTGAGTGGTGTCGGTGGAGGACCGCCGCCTGAAAAACAAATCCTATTCATCAATTTCATAATACATAGATAGTGACTTTTATAGTCAAATAAGGTTCTGTATAATCTATATGTTACACATGCTTAAAACATTTTAAAAAGAAATACAATTCTTACATCACAAATGATATCAACTTATAAGTTCTCAACATTGTTAAAAGTTATACAAATGTATTTTATTTCTGTGCTAACGTAATTAAATTATATTGTGATGAAAAATCATTAATAATTGTTTGATACATACCAGTTGTTGTTGTCGCCCTGTGGAAGGTTGAGTAACTCTTCTTTCTGCTGCTTTTCATATTCTTCCACTTCTTTTCGATTTCTTCTTTGGTCCTTTTCACAAGCCCCAGCATTTAGGCTGTCAGTTATACTCTGAAAAAGATTCATTCTGTTAAACTCATACTGTTTTTGGAACCGCTTGTTTTATTACATTCTATAACAAAAAATCATCAACACTATAAATTAATTTTATGCCAAGGTTTTGAAAATCAATGAACAAACACAGACACAAATTGAAGGTAACAAATAATATTGTTTTAAGCAATTGAATTTAATCATTGTTAAATATATAGCATTCAATTAATAGATTACTGTTCTTTAAGAAGTCTAATAGCAACAGGTAATACATGATTTGGTTGATGTGTAAATGACCATGACCAATCATGGCCAAGAAATGACCAAGCATGGCCACATGGTCAGGGGTTTGTAATCATAATTGTCTGTCATTTGTCAACATAACATAAGTAGACAGACATGAAATAATTCTGATTTACATTATGTTTAGCTTTAGGCATTGTAGTTTGTCACTATTATTAAAATCTTAATCTTAATTAAATAATAAAATTAGTGTATTTATGTTACGTCACACAACAAAATATTCCTGTTTCTCATCACTTTTTAAAAAAAATATTGGTCTGAGAGGCAGATTTTATTTTTACTTTTTATTTATTTCATGACAAAAAAGCCTTGATTTATGTGGTAATTTAACACCTTTTCTCCAATGGAAAATTAAAACTTAGAATTGTCAAATATTCATGCACATTTTGAGAGCCAAAGTAAAACATTTACAACATCTTTAGGTCAAGTCAAATTTTAGGGTTGGGCAGTTTAATGAGAAACAAGAAAATCTTTATAAGTAGCCTAAAATCATCTTCAATTATAAATAAATAATTGCACAGTGCATAAGTTTAAAAAGAAAGGATATACTTTGTTAGGAAGACTTTAGAGACTTAACAACAACAAAAATCCTCTATCCTCTACATATTAATCTTCACATAAAGAAGAATCTGATACATTTATTGGAACAGCATTTTACATGGAATGATATTGTTGATTATTTTCCAATGAAACAGACATTACAAAAGTGCTGCCAGGATGATAGGGTTTGTCTGTATCACAGTAAAATAATTGTTGTTCTTTTCACTTGTATTAAAACTGTGCAATGGTAATGTTTATTATGTCAACGATTTCATGGGTTTTTTAACTAAGGGAAAATCAGAAGTGACCTAACATATATACTATAATACATTTAGATCTTTACTAGTATAGATATTTCATTTTTCATAAAAATATATTTTTACAAACACTACTCAGCTGTATTAAAAGGTGCCTGTAAAGTTCTAGACCAATGAATGAAATTGAAGGTTCATAGAACTTTCAATTGTACAATGGGAAAGACTTCCGCCCGTATCCCCCCTGAAATTTCATTCTAATCAAATCATATGACCTGAATATATAGTCCACATGTGGTAAGGATGGGTTTAAACATGTTTTTTTTTAATTGTATCTGAACACACTGAAAGGCATTTTCACCTTGTAAGAATGCCACTCAAAGAAATGTTTTTCCTCATCGTCAAGATTTAGGGGGGATACGGGCAGAAGTCTTACCGTACAATGTACCATCAGTTGTTATTAGGTAATTATTAATAAATAATTGTTGTCAGACCCAGCCTAATTCGGCGTTCTTATTCACATTGAATGCACTCACCTGCCACGCCTCCTGTCTGTGTGCCAAAGTCAAACCGGGCCCAAATTTTCCCTCTATCAAAGTCTTCCTTTGCTTTACTATTTCTGTTAACTGCAGACATTCGTCCTTACTCCAATTCAGTTTTCTTTTCTTTGCATCATTGGTCCCAGTTTCTGCCATTTTGATAGCTGTGTTGTCGTCTGTGGTACGATGACAGAAATGAATCCCCGCTGGACGTCACTTTTCATTTTCTTGCATCAAAGAATTCCACCGGAAGTTTTCCGTTGCTGGTATTTTCCCATTAGCAACGATGCGCACGCATATCGGCTATGAACTTAAGTTTCTGATCGACTTAACCTCCGACTAAGCTAAGTTTTTGACTAAGTCACTTTATGAATACGAACTTAAGTTTCGGACTTAGCTAAGTTAATTTTTCAAAACTTAAGACAAAACTTAAGAAAAATCTAAGACTTTTTTAGAATACCGCCACAGGTATTTAGTGAGATTTGAATTTTCAATAAATCTTCAATCTTCTGAATTTAGTCTAAACCATGATGTAAGCAATTAGCATGGGCAAAATTTTGTAATCAAACAAGTTCATTGGTAGCTTTTCAAATATTCTTGATTCTCATACTTATTGCCTTTTGGCTGAGATTACAGCTCAATATATCATATCAAAGTATTTTAATTTCAAGACTTTTGAACTTTCAAACCCTAATGTGTCTCTGTGTGAGGTTGTTTTTTGCTGATTGAAAAATATTGTAATATTACAGCATGTGGGAAGAAAGGCTGAAATTACCCAGGTCTTAGATTATTAAATATTTTCTCACCCACTGAAGACCCATTGGGGAACATTGTGTGAATACCTGCAAGTGTGAAATTAATATCAGTATGTCCCTACCTCCAGCTCTCCTACCAATCTGCAGAAGTCTTCAAAGTCATTGTCAAAGTCCACTTTCCTTTGGTCCAGAATATCATAGGGTTTCTTCTTGATAGTGCCTAATATTTGTTGAAAACGAGCAGCAAAAGGCTCAATGCCTTCAATCTTTGACTCAGACAGGGTTGAGAAATCATCTATGTGCCTCAACAATGTAATGATCTGAAACAAAAACTTTGCAGACTCATACCTGAACTTATTTTCAGTTCCCTAATCGGATCAAATGGATGCAGTCTTTTTGGCCCAGTATTGATTATTTACCAGCTGCTTGAACATCCCTTAGAGTGATGTTGAACATTAAATAAAAATCTCAAACTACACTTACAGTCTGTACCAAAACTTTAAAGTCTTGTCGACTTGTGTTAGCATCATTCTCAGTAGTGTTGGGAACTGGTTGAAATCTCACAATTGATGATTGGCTCAATACCAACGACCAATCATCAAAAAAAATTGGTTAGCGTCATTTTTTAGATTTTCCTATTCAGGTTGTAGTTGCAGATAAGTATAAAGAAAAAAACATTTGGTTCTCTGTTGTGTAACATCCAGTGTAAAATGATTCAGTTCCAGTGTAACATTAACTTCCCAGATTCTTTAAGAAATATTCAGTCATGACTTGTCAGAAAGTGAAGTGAGTTTTCTTAGAAATAAACACGTTTTCAGGCCCTGACAACGTCCTAGATATGTTCCATCATCAAGTATTTCAAACTCTATTACAGCGATTCCAAAATCGTTTGTGTTCGATTATGAGAAAATGTGATCGATTGCTTGGTCGTTTGGCCACTGCGACCAATCTTCGGTTATTTCAATTAATCGGACCACCACTAATTCTCAGTAGATATTAATGTGATAACATGGGCTGTACAACTTGATTTTACTTAGCCAAACATAATTTTGATGGATACAGGCATTTGTCCAGGGGATAAGTCTCAAACTGCAATTAACTCCTTTCATTAGAATCACCTTCTGCAATCTCTTGCAGAATGTGTTAAACTTCCCAAAGATGTACATCTCTGAGAATTCAAAGGGCTTCTCTCCTGGTGTGTCTTCTATCTTTTGTTTGGTTCGTTGGAAGGCTGACTGATATGTCTGGTACAGCTTCACACAGCTCTCTAGCTTCATGAACAACTCCTGACAAGGCTGATCCCAGATTCTGTACATGCCATCATCAGTGATGAATGTCTTACATGTCTTCACCATTTGATTGGTGACCTGAAAAATTCATAAAATGAGTGCTAGGGGTGAAATGTTTAACGAGATGTTTAAGACTATTACATATTTAGCAATGTGTATGCATGGGTGTGGTTACTCGTACTAGTCAAGGACTACTAGTCCAATATAAATATGTAACAAATAATTGATGTGTAGTCAAGGTGGAACACATCAAATCTTTTCATGTCACCTTTTATATTTTCAAGGCCTTTTCAAGGCAAATACCAACTGAAGGCCTTTTCAAGACACACTAAAAAAAGATTGCCTCTACTGTATTTGTATCAAGGGATACCCTAAATCTTTAATTGTAGCAGAAAGACTACTTGACTTGCATGATTAGGTATAAACACTGACAAGAAAACGTTACTTAATAAAAGTATTGTAACTAATTAGGTTAAATGCCCGCTGCAACCAGGACAGAGTAATTGTGGCATTGGAAAGTATCTCATCTTTAATTTCAGTCTAATCTGATCAGCAAGTTATGGAACAAAGTCCATGCAGAGATTCTATAGATGTTCATAACTATGACCAACTGAAAATACAATCAGCATTAAGACCAGGTAAATGCAGAGGTTCTGTAGATATCTGGCTGACAAACAGCAAATTAGTAAAATGCCTTTTATGATTCTGGAAATAAGTTCAAGATCACTACTATCAACTGAGAACTGCAAAAACCATAAAACACTTTTCCCTCATACAAGAACAAAATCCATGGTTGCTGCAGTGTGTGGTTTTGTTCCCATGCAGGAGCTACAAACAGTTAACAGATATTATCACATTTCACAAAACATATCCAATAGGAAAATAGAGAACAGAATTATCTTTTGCCTCATTCTGTTCACCCTAATTGTAGCATCAGTTTCATCACCAACCAACGGTTCTGATAAAAAGATTTAGCTGTAAACTAACTTCTAAATAAGGACAGAAATCTGTACTAGGCCTGTTGTTGTGCCAAATGAAAGTGTGATGAGATTGAAAGTCAGTTCTGCTACCTTTATAAAGAGTGATGTCATCCTCTCTGATGTATTGTAGTATCGTGAGATGTTGTGTATCATTCGAATGGCATTGATCAGGCCAGGAAGACAGTCTATCATTGACACCTGGAAACATAAAATATATTTGCATAAAATATGCAATACATAAAGACATGGACATGCTTTGAAGTTCACACACAAATGAAACTATTTTTCCAAGAATATTTCACTGCTGTTTGCGGACTAGTCCAGATGAAATGATATTGTCTATCTGGCTATGATGAAAGGTTACAAGGGACCTACTCTAATCTATTTAAATTACTGTCTTGATGTGGCTAGCAGTGTTCACGAATAGCGTCTGACCCTCTACGCCAACAGTCTGATAGAAGTCTACAACCCCCCGGCCCAAGCGTCTGACTGTATATTTCACAATGACTTTGACTGAAGTTGTTATATGGGACATGTGACACCTGTTTGCTGTTTATAAATCTTATGTTTGTTCATACTTTCATTGCCAATTATAAGAAATGTTAAATCTGAAATGTGTTTAATTTTATTCTATGGGTCCTGTGAATTTTCAATGGGTCAGACAGACATCTGAAACTTTCAGGACCCAATGTCCTGTTCCTTTAAAACACCATTCGTGAACACTGGGCTAGTGTAAGAGGGGAACAGTGATTGAGTGAGTTTAGTTATACGCCACACTCTGCAATATTCCAGCTATATGGCGGCGGTCTGTAAATAATCAAGTCTGGACCAGACAACCCAGTGAACAACAGCATGAGCATCGATCTGGGATACGATAACATGCATCAACCAAGTCAGCGAGCCTGACCACCCAGTCCCGTTAGTTGCCTCTTTCGACAAGCATGGGTTACTGAAGATCAATTCTAAGAGGGAATAACATTCTCGGCAATATACCTTTTCACATTTTCATCCATTCTGTTTCAGTTGAATAATTATATATTATATGAATATTCAAACCTTTCTTCATAAATACTGTTCAACAACCAAATTTGTTATGACCTATTTAATACAAGAAGGATATTTATTTTAGAACACTTCAACTTTAGAATGGAACAATATATTTCTGTCATGTTACAGAAAATTTGGTTCAACAGATTCTGAAAAAGGAGAAAAACACACATCTTCTGAGACACCAAACTCGAACAGATTGAAAGCCTCAAAAATTTATATAGCTATAATCGTCCAATTTTCAGTTTTGTAAGCCTTCTGATTCTTAAGCATTAATTGTTGGAATTTTCTGTGAGAGTTCAAAGATCATAATTATCGCAAAGGCTTCATAACTAGACTAGAATAAAAATCACCATTGGGGCCTTAGCAAACTGAGTCAGTTGTTAATGATAAGGTACCCTAAGTGGTGGATGACTTTTTTCGGGGTTTGTTTGTATGCATGATTAATGTTCAGGCTGGTCCTACTAGTAGACTTTCTAGGACCCTATTCCACAAAAGGCAAGTCTAAGTTATGGCCACATTAGTGCTATCATTGCTTTGGTAATCATGAGCTTCAACCATAACAACAACTGTGCCATTACTTACAGGGTCAAATCTGTACAGGGGCTCACAGTATTTTTCCAAAGTGTAAAGGTATTTGACATTATCCTTTGCCTCATTGGCACTGTCTGTGATTCGCTTATCCAATTCTTTCCACTTCTTGAGGACCTTTGACCTAGCAATGTGTATGATATTGATGACCATACGACACTTGTGACTCTTGATCTGCTCCAGGAGGGCATTGAACCGAGCCATCAGCTGCCGCCAGTGTTCCAGCTCAGCTAGAGGGCCAGTATCATCAGCCTCCTTTCTCATCTGATCGCTCTCAGCTAGAATCTGTACATCAAAATAGAATGGCTTTAGTGTTAGTTAGAGTAGTTAGTAAGTCAATGTATTTTTCAAGTCTGAATGTAGTTTTAAATTGATGTTTGGACATGTTTCTAAAATATGGAAACAAACGTGTGTGGGTGAGTATGGCTTATGCTGCTTTAGCAATATTCCAGCAAAATCAAGGCAGGAGACACAAGAAATTGGCTTCACTCTTTGAACCTGCGTGAGTAATCAAAACCAGGTCTTCGGCATGACAAGTATACACTTGGCTAGCCCAACAAAACTGTGGGGGAAATTTCATCATTGGCTTGCTCTTTTCACCTTTGCCTTACAAAACTAGCACTCATGTACAGTGTGCGAAATGGCCACTGGCGCGCTAGCCCGTGACTAGTAAAATTCCAGACGGGTCAGTAAATCTCCATAGCTACTGGCCCGACTGGCTTGTGAATTTTCATGGGTCATTTTGTAAATATATCACTCTCTCCGACTTGTTAAGTTATAACACACTTTTAAATCATGCAAGATTATGGCCTGATAAAAATGTTCATCATATTAGCAAGTTAATGATGAAACCCGTGTCCACATTCAAATTCCGGACTAGTGAATTATCTTGTGGGCTAGTAACATTCAGGCATAGTTAGCCCGACTGGCTTGCAAAATTTGGAAACTATTTTGCACACTGATCATGTACCTGTTCAATCTGCTTGCACCAGGCCAGAGCCAGATCTTCTAGAACTGACACAATATCAGGGTTAGCTGCAGCCTGCACACAGTCACTGACAGACTTGATTTCTTGTATGTCCACTTTGTCACAATCAACCAGTTGTACAACTTCTTCAACATGCATCTGAGCACCTGAAAGTTGAAGGTAAAACAATATGTACGTTAATTTCAACTGTCTATTTTATGCTAACATTAGGTTGTACCAGGGCATGATAAATATGTACATTGTCGCACTTACCATGCTTTACAGTCAGGATTTTGAAATATCAAATATTAATAGGTATTCTCTTGTACCTTGGTAAGCAAAGCAAGAAGATATTTATAGTCACCAGTACCTCCTGCCTTCCTTGCTAAATTGTAAATAATGAAAAGGGAATAGGTTTGATCTCATACCCGTGAAGATCTGGGTTAGAATTGATCTTCAGTAACCCATGCTAGTCATAAGAGGCAACTGACGGGACCGGGTGGTCATACTCGCTGACTTGGTTGACGCATGTCATTAATTGTATCCCAGATCTATGCTGATTATTTACAGACCGTCACCATACAGCTGGACTACTGCTGAGTGCTGTGTAAAACTAAACTCACTCACTCACACTGTGGGTTTGATCTAAATTGATGCTAAGTCGTCATCCACATGTATACATAGTTTTCTGGAACAATATTTATTAGTTTGAGGGGTATGGCCTTGAAACGAAAGTTATAATTACAGTTGTTTGAGATTTAATGCAAATTGTTTCTGTGGAAATATAAAAAATAAATAACAGTAAAAAAAATTAAATAGCAAATGGCACAAGTAAAGATGATAATCAACTCATGTGCCAAGTTTTATTCAACACCTGATGTTTTTAAGTTGAGGTTCACAACAGAAGTGGAACACTGATGCCAACACTGACCAAATTGATAATTGGAACCAAGAAGCTTGTAACATTTTTTTTTCTTTTCACACAAGTAGGCATGGTTTACATGTACACTGGATTCAAATAAACAATGTTCTTCTAATCTCTTACTTCAAGCATAGCTTGCTGCAGACCTATTCCAACTGGCAAAGGGTTCTAGAATAGTGGACTTCCACTGTACTTGTACCCAAACTAGGAAACAACCTACTTCTTAGATATGACACAAAGTTGTCACAGTTATCCAGGAACTGTTTCTTGATCTTCCTGCCTTGATTGGATTCTGTCAAGTCACCCCAGTTGTGGAGAGTCTTCAAGGCTGGCTGATAGATGTTGTTTAGGACCATTTCAAATGCACCCAACAGGCCTTGTTTACTTGGATCCAACACACCAAATGTGATTTCCTGAAGAGAATGTTATGAATACAGTACCAATATTCAAGCTATATTATATGGATTGTAAAAAATGAAGTCTGAACCAAACCATTAATAGATAATGTGAGCAACGATCTAAACAATATGGGTGCAATGACACAACAAGTAAGTCACAAGCCTGACCATTAGTGGTGGTTCGATTAATTGAAATAATCGAAGATTGGTCGCAGTAACTAAACGACCAAGCAATCGATCATGTTTTCTAATAATCGAACACAAAAAATTCTGGAACACTTTTTACATTAACAATATTTTTCACAAGTCATGACTGAATTTATCTTAAAGACCCCAAGAAATTTATGTTCCTAACATACTAGTCATCCTTTAAAGATGTGCAATTTGCGAAACTTTCTTTATGTTTTTGTGCAAACAAAAATAACCAGGACAATTTCATTAATGACGCTAACCAATTATTTTCGATGATTGATCGGATGTGATGAACCAATCATCAATTATGAGATTTTAACCAATTCCCAACACTACTGACCATCCAATCCGGTGTGTCACCTCTAATATGCCAATATGGGTTGCTGGAGCCCAACTCTAAACCCATATCATCATGGGGCCGGGAATGGGGTCATCAGTGCTTTAACTGTTCAATCTTAATATATGTGTGAATGTGTCTGTGAATGGTGTATATGGCTTTCATTGGGTCTGTATTCAGAAGTATTCAATAATATAATGCTCAGTTCCCAACTCTGTGGTACCCTGGCTTTAGAGTCTCTTTTCTGTAACTGGGAATACAATCATAGATGCAAACCACCAAGAAGAGAAAGTTATATATTTTTCAGCATGCACATTTATCAACGTGTGAAACAGTATCAGAGTGGCAGTGACAGTATAATTATAATACCAGTTGAGAGAAAACAACTTCCTGGTGCTTCTAGGGTATACTTCAAAATCAGAAATTGTGACTAAAATACTTTGTCATGATGTTTATTAAATGAAGCCACTAATAAATGTACTGTTACTCAAGAACATTGTACAAATGCATCAATTTGTTTTGTTTATTGAAACATTATCTTTTTGATGCATCAGGACAACATTTAGAGTGACACTGAGTCTGGTAGACACCTATTCCTGTAGGTATACCCATTATACATTAGCATAACAAAACATATCAGTTATCACATTTATTAATTAACACATTTCTTTACAGCACTAGGCCACATAAGACATGTTGTTTTTTCATAAACACCTTGACACTGATGGATCTGTTTACAAAATACAAAACAATCAACCAAGTGAGCTAATCCAGGAGTCACCTCCTCCAATCAGCTGACTCTCTCCAACCTTTGAATCTCCACTTGGTGAAAATGTAGACATATAAATCTGTATAAATTTGTATGCTAGACATCTACAGAAAAGCTATTTCAGACATAAAACCATCTTTTGTTATACAAGACAAATCTTATGGATAACAACTTCTTGATTTATTTTACACGTTTCTGGGCTAGTTAGGTGGATAATGATCATAGTGAACAATACAGTTATATATATTGATGTACAGGAAGCCAGATATGTAAATAAGTATATACAAGCACAAGGGGGGAAGGAGATATAATTAAGTATGTACAAACAATGCAGTGAGATGAAAGAGAAGAATACAATGATAGGGTATGTTTTTACAATAAGAACAAGAGTATGTTTACACAGCAGAGTGGTTTGAGAGTCTATGATTTCTTGGTGATGCACCAGGCGCTAGGGGGGTAAACCCCTTGATCCCTGTTGATCTCGGGTACTAATCTTCTTATGTTGATTGATTCAAGAAGTTTTCTTTTGTGCCAATTACTGATGTTGGAAGCCAGAAACGTTGTGTAAAATAAAACAAGAAGTTGTTATCCATAAGATTTGTCTTGTATTACTACACCAACTTCTAAATGGCTTTGAAGAATTTCATCTTTTTGTTGTTCTTGAACACTCACCTCACAAATGTTTTTCAAGGTAAGTTCAACATCAATTCTGGACTTCAGAAAGTACACACAAACTCCAGACAAACTTTCACCCTTTCCACTTGTGACAATAAGTCTGTTTGTGCGCCCCCCTTTAGGAACACCTGGGTAAGCACGCCCTCAATCTGCAAAAAATATCCCACTGTAAAACTGGAATATTCAAAAGGTGGAGGAGGGATAAGGGGCTTGTTTCGTCCAGAGGTTTGTAATAATTGTACGCAATAAGGGCCCTTGTTATACCTTGTCATCTTAAAAATACAACAAAAGTAAATCTTGATGCTGCAGCCTGTACCTTGTAACTTTCTCATGCTGAAAACCTAGCTTCCATTATAGATATATTTATTTCAGCTTATCAAATATCATTATATGAAGATAATATTGTGAGGTTTAGAAAACAGCAACCCTATTTTCTGTGATGTTTACGGAGGGTAGTTGAGATCATACTCAATAAATAGCTATATTTATAGAAAATACTGTGTGAATTTGAATAAAATACATTGTGATCAGTTAAAAGAGCTACTAAGACCATGTAGTACAGAGCAATATTTGAGGTATATGACATCAGCCTTTAAACAATAATGCCAGATAATATAGTGACAGATAATGTAAGCAACACACGTGCCATTAGGGTACCATGGCATCAAGTTTCCACCAGTCTGGAAACCACCAGACCCTACATTGCTATATCAGAGTTTGTTATTGTACCTTCCACTAGGGGCACATCCATTTCCTGGTAATAGAACTTGATACTCTTGGAGCCATTTTTCATAAGAAATCGATCAAAAAGCGCCATGTGCTGAAATAATCAAACAGGATGAACATAAGGCATGAAAAATGCATGCAACAAGATTTTTTCCTCTTTGAACACTATTTCAGCGCTTGGAACCATGTGAGAAAAAAGTTCAAAGTGCATACATGTGTTAGATATGCAGGTCTCCTTGTTTGCCACCCTGGTGAAAGCATAATTATCCAATTTAAACTTTGCAGGCCACGCGTTAACGAAATTTTTAACTGATTAATATCATTAGAGTACTGTATATTACCGTCTATAAGCCGAATATTGATGATAAAAAAAATGCAGTCTGTAGAAGGGGGTCGGCTTATCTATGAGTTACTGCAGAGGCCCAGATAAGCTGCGTATCCGGGTAAAATATGCATAGAATTACGCATTGAAAAATAATTGTTGCGTACCAATTGCGCATTTAAAATGTTAGATACACAAAAAGTTTAAAACAGATGCGTACGGAATATATTTATAAAAATCGCTTGCGTAATGAAAAAGACATCGATTGCTATCAAGTTGTACTGTTAGTATAGGACAAGTGTTGTACTGTCAGTATAGGATGAGTGATTTTTTATGAAATCATTTCCATTATATTTAAGTTGGTTTTGATTAGGTATGACATAAAGCAGACCATACCTGCTTAGTGAACTTACTCAATGGCATATATTTAGGTGAGTAAAATGACTGAAATACGCACATATTTGAAAGCAGTGGGTAACGGAAAATGAAATACCCACTCAACATTCATAATATCCACTCCAAAAAAATACAGTGGGTACAGTACCCACATGAGCTAAATCTTATCTGGAGCTCTGTACTGTTTCATCAAACTTTTTTCCAGGGGTAAGAAAACAACATCGTATCACTTCGCATGAACAAACAACAGAAGACAACTTTGTCAGTAAAGACGCCAAATTTGCAATTAAACATCACTAGACAAGATTATTTACCTTTTAAGTTCTGAGTTGTTTTTGCGTGGCATTGTATTATTTGCAGAGATTAAGATTACCGTGTGTATTTGAGCCGGAAATAGGAATCAGCTGTGCACACGTTTCCCCGCGATCAAGTTCAAACATGTACAATATTTGTCAATAATATAACGGGATGAATTCCGATACAGTCATCAGTAAAATATAATACAGAGTACTATTATTTAACCCAAAGAAATATATCCTAGCATTGTGTAATTTTGATTACAGTTTTTGCTCTATAATGTAAAATATACTAAGCAGCCAAAAAACCCGTCAATACGAATTCAAAAGTAGATATAGGCACTGTAATCAAATCATTACAGAAATTGACATATTAAGTGGATCAAAAATCTTTTTTTTGTACAATATCTTGACACATCAATGGATAAAAACTCAGCACAATTTCAAAACATTACGTAAACATTTGCAGTCCATTCAGACCCTTGACTTCAGTATCTAGTGTGACCACCACGAGCGGCAATAACTGCAGCACAGCGTCTATGCATGGAGTTTACCAATTGTTTGATGAAGGCCATTGGCACCTGGAACTGGACTCTGAGAAAAGCCTGGCGCAATAAATCGGCTGTGTTCGGCTTTGGTATGACATTATTCAGTCTCCTCTGAAATTTATTCCAAAGATGTTCAATTGGGTTTAAATCAGGACTAAGGGCTGGCCACTGCATAATGTTGACACCGTTCCGCTGTAGGAAGTCCCATGTAGATCTGGCAGTATGGGCCCGGGCATTATCATGCTGGAAAAGTGGGGTCTGAGAGCTTGGTCGATGTAGCGCACCGCTGTGATGCTGCCTCCTCTCCCTGGAACACCACAGGAACCACTCTCTGGTTCAGGCCTATTCCACCCCATACCATGATGCTTGCACTGCCCCATGAGTCTCTTTCCATAACACATTGGTCTGAGTAACGCTGGCCATATTCTTGTTCTGCCATCTGCAGTTGATACGCAGTACCGACTCTCATCTGTGAATAGAACAGTTTTCCATTGCCTGTATCGCCAGTTATGGTGGTATGATAGGTCCACGGTAATGTCTACGGCAATGGAGGTTCCCGCTGTTAAGACGTCGCGTACTGTATCAGTACTGATTGGTCTTCCGTGTGTTCCCACTGTCTGGCGAGATGTTTCAGATGTCTGCATGAAGGGATTCACATATTTTGAGCGCATTCACATCATTCATTGCACATTTATTTTTATTTGACATATTTATATGAGTATATATTTATTCATATATTATGTGACATTTATTCATTTGTCATTTATGATATTTGATCATAGCACATCATTTCATCAAACATCAGTTCAAACATCAGTTCGGATACAGCGGCCAATGCCATGCAAGAAATCTGGGGATGAAGTGTTGATCAAAGATCAGGAGAACCAAGCTAAAGATGAGTTGGGGGGATTTATTCCGTTTTTTGCCAGTTCTGTGCCAGTTTACATAGCTAAAACAATCTTCTCCAACTCTTCTGCAATTGTTAATGAAGCTGTTCTATCAAAACATGATAACAAGGATTAAAGAACCTTTAAACTAAAGCTAAAGATGAGTAGGGGGAATTTTGTCCGTTTTAATGTTAAGGATGGGGGGGGATTATGTCCGGGTGTTTTTTGTTTGTTTGTTGTTGTTGTTTTGTTTGTTTGTTTGGGGTTTTTTTGGGGGGGGAGAGAGAGAGAGAGATTTTGTCCGTGGGGATTTTGAGCTGTTGTGAGTCGCGGCTTCCTGCTGACGTTGTAATGTGAATGTTTCAACCAGGTTTTGGAGGTGCATTTTACAGGGCTGGTTTTGTGAACAGCACGTGCACCATGAGTTGCATGAAAAACATGGAGAACACCGTACCATCACCGAGGTCAGGTTGCGTTTTTGAGACCATTTCCTGGGTTCAATTCTGAGTTTGGGAAGGAATGTCTTTGCTCAGGTAAATTTGGAGTTGTTGTTAAAAATATACAATCAAAACATTAAATGAGTTTACAGTTACATAAATACATTTCTTCGAAGGAAAATTCCAAACTGACGTTTCTTTTGCTGCTTAGTATATATATTATCAACACTAAGGTTATACGGACCCTCATGAACGTGGTAAGCGGAAGTTGTACGCACATGGAATGGGGTAAAATAAGCAAGTCATTTAAATTCACACATTGTTACCGATGTTACTGTAAACTAGAAGTCCATGGAAAACAAGGTGGTAATCAGCTCGTGATTGTTGAATGGGGTAAAAAAAAGCAAGCCAGTTTGTTGACATGTGATCATCCAGCTACAATAAGTATGATATTTAGCGAAACATAATATATTATCCATTTTCTGTCCACAATAATGTGGACCAAAGTTATAATTATTGGTAACTGGCAGTTGTCTGTGGTCTATGTTTGCTATGATTAGGACCCCATCGCGGGGATCGGCTTATGTACAAAACATACCATTTTTACACTGATTTTAAGGGTTAAGTTTGGGCGTCAGCTTATCTATGGGGTCGTTTATAGACGGTAATATACGGTACCTGGAGTCTCAGGTGAAAAATGATGATCCAGGGTGCCTATATGATCAATGAACTCTGTTAGTGTTACATCTCGCTGATTGTAACTTCCCCTTTAAAAAAGGCACATCAAAATAACATAATTGATAGTCGAAGGGTAGCTGAAATATGAGAGGTCATTGATTCTCAAAGACCATGGGGTAATTGGTCACATGAGTACAATATATATGGGCAGCCCATTTCTGGTGTTCCTCCTACGATATTGCTGTAAACTCATGGGTGAAAAATTCACAATAGATTTGACCCAAGTCATTACAAATTTACAGAGTACTCAAAACAATCCGATTAAAATCAAATCTTTTACACCATTATCATGCTCTCTGTCAAGATTTGAAGTCCCTTTTATCATAGGTCATGTCTAGTGAACACAGGGCAAACTCTATACGCCCAGAGTAAATAAAGTATTTGTGGGTTAGTGTCAGCCACTGTCAATAGGAAAACACTCAAATAAGGATAATATGCCACTGGTCCTGGTTCAGTTCCTCCTGGATTCCACAATTCTGCGGTTGCAGAATAAATCATGGAAATTACCGTTTGACGCAGAAAAACGTATGGTCGGTGGAAAATGCATTTTCATGCAGAATACCCTCAAAATTTGATATTTTTCTGCCGCGGAATTTACTTATTTTGAAAGTTGAATCAGAGACCATCTATTATATGGTCTCTGGTTGAATCAAGATTGAATATCAACCTAAGCAAAAAGTAGGGGCAAACATCAAAAGTATGATTAGTTACACAAAAACGAACTGAGAAATTTGTTGCAACGATATTTTCAAAATATTCACGAATAAAGATAATTTATTCATAAGGTAATATTTTCTTCAGCACCTTACAATATTATCTGAATTTGACACTGCAAATATGTTTACAAAATCGATCTGTTTGAAGATAGAAATTGGATTATTTTGCGTGTTTTTGTTCAAGTTTTTAACTGCAGATTTTTTTGCAGAATTTTGAAAAATGGGATGCAGAATTTACTGAAATTTGCTGCGGAATTCTTAGAAATTCCTCGCAGAATCAAGGAGGGACTCCTAGTTTAACAAAAGTCATACATAGAGGATATTATACGAGTGCCCATGTCATACTATGTTTACGACACGAGTGCCTAAATGTTGGTATTTCCCGAGTGAGTGTCGTAAACATAGTATGATATGGGCACGAACATAATATTCTGTTTATTACTGAAGTCGTCAAATTGAGAAAAATACACCTAAATCTACTTTCAAACATAGGCTAGCCACCTGCCGTTGCCAATGTAGGACGCAATGTCATAGAAGAAATGTGACGTCATAGCATTGTTCATGATGTCACGTCACTATGACAAAGTGATATTTTGCCCTAGGGCATTGTATAAAAAATACGAACCCCAATCTTTTCGCCCTCGTAGGTAATAAATTATTATATTCATGATAATGCAACATCCTACCCTCTCTGAGTCCACCACAAACTCCTCCACCACTGATGTGTCCAGATTCAGGTAATTGGCAATAACCATCATCACATGCTTGTAAGCTTTATCCACACGCTGCCGTCTTGCCTCTCTGTTATCTTTGGCCCTGGCCTAGTAGGTGAATAGAAAACTCATGAATATTATGAAACAGAATGGAATAAATTCTAAAATTAAATATGTCAAAGAACCATTCTTCAAAACAGGAAAGGAAATAAGAGGCTTTACCAAGGTCGAGTAGCCCAAATGATAGTGCTGGAGTTATTATCAAATAATCCGTATTAATCGGTCAATTGATCGATCTTGCTTATGTCAGCGATTATCGATGAGCTTGGACTAGTTGATATTGATAAAAAATGATACATCAAACCAAACATTAGAAAGTTTGTTTCTTATTGGTATGTCTTGGATTGTCAGGCCATAAAGAACACAGAAGTTTGTATTTTATATTTCCCTGCACACAAAAAAGACCTATTTTTACATAAAAAACAACAACAGGCATTAGACAATGCTAGATATCATTTGTCATGCCCAACTTATCATTCAAGACAGAACCAACAGCTATTCCCACTGGATTATCACTAGTCTTCAACAGAGAAGTGGCCATGAGTCCCTGTCTCTCTTCTCTCTCTCATTTCAACCCAGACCTGCACATGATTAATACAAGAGCTATAACAAGTACCAGTACACCTTTCATGCTTAATTTAGAACACAGTCACCTGTTTCTCTTTCATAGTTTCCGCCGGCATGACCTGTCCAACAGTACTCCGTCTTCGCTGTCGCATAAACATAGCTGTACTATGACTCCGTTCCTGAAGGAGGTCTTGGGTGGAAGACTGTAAGTCCACCTTGTTGGGCTCTTTCAAGAACGACATCTTGTCACACAAACACTAATCTGGTATAATATCTGAAAAGGCATTCATAAAGAATTAAGGCTTCACATATATTAGATATATATTAGGACAGGGGTTTACGGGACGCAAATTTCTGCTTCATATACGCATAAAAATTGACATTGGACGCAACTAAATCTATTAGCGCGTCCACAGGGACGCAGAAAAAGTCCAAATACTTTTTGTAAAATTTCCAGTCAAGTAACAATAAGTTATCACTGAGTTTGCAACTAGCTGAGTGATGGTATCATTTGCAGTTTGATTACTGTAACAATTTAAGTGATGATCATGATACACAATACAATAACAGTATTAATAATAATATTGTCTGGGACCCCCATTTTGTTGTCAAGGACATCTGAAAATTAAGAGTATGAGTCCAAGGGACCCTCAAACACAGGACTCAAGGTATATCCCTGATTTGGATATACGAAAAATCATGAATTCAACGCAAAGTGTGTCTTTGATCCCCTTACTGGAGAGACATATTCACCTGAACATATAACGCACAATCTCCCTCAGTAGAATAGCAACTTATATAAGATGCATTGTCAGAAACCAAACACAAGAAAAATCAGCCACAGAATATCTTGTTTGGGGCTCAAAATAGGTTATCCTGAAATTTCCTGCAAGGATTTATATAGGATTCCCACTAAGTACCTTTTGCAAGCAATTTGGGACAAATAGGTGACATTGCTCGCAACTTGATTGTTTCAATGTTCTAAAATACTTGAAGAATCTGAGGACTGGTAAGTTTTCATTCAAATGGGATCTTTTACTATCATTTGCTGCATTCTTGGAGTGGAATGTTTGCCTCTGTGCAGGTCTTAATAAATCAATAAAATGTCTCATGGATCAAATCTGACTGTCAGGTCAATATCACCTGAGCAAGATCACACTGAACATAGTTTACTGTTTATCATCAACTCTGCTATGCTTGATAGGGAATCTGCAAGGTTACTGGGCTGGGAGAACATTTTGTTTGTTTTGGGTTTCATTTTATTTTTTTACAGTCATGCGTCATGAGATAATCAATGGGGAATGTAATTAAGTTGAATCTTATTATACGGTCTCCAGTCAAGGTGGTTACTACAGCTTCTCACAAAACTGCCTGTCTCAGAGGCATGGCCTCATGAGAAGTTTTGGAACTGAATTCTAAAGGCTCTCCATGTAAGATAAAGTTGTCTATTAATAAAAGTTAATGATATGCTTTACAGTAACTGTTGTTAATGTTATTAGCAACATAAATGCAACTGTTTCTAAGCACATAAAAACTATTAATATGAGGATGAACTGGGTGGACTCAATTTAACCCTAAACCCCTCAAAATAGTCCTAATTAAATTAAATAGATTGACTGAAACTCTGAATAATGGAATATGGCTGAAGGTGTCCGTACATTGCATTCTTACTTATTTCAAGAAACAAAATCAAGCTTCCATGACCGAACAGTCGCATTACAGTCAGAAATAAAACAACCAAACAATGTGATTTTACCTACTATCACCAATGTGTGACATTTCACACGACCGTTTGCTAAAGATAAAGTCGATTACACTGACTCTCACGTCTAACAGCGTTCACATAGGACGTGTTGGTATCACTACGCGCACTGAAGCGCCGTGTAGACTTGACAAATCGGAATACTAACGCAATTGACTAAATTTACAAAGAACAAAAACTAGTTCATGATATGAATATGCATTCACTATAGTAACTTTAACCAATCATGGGAAGGCCTCTGCATATATAAATTTACACATTCAATGGGACTACCTTCCTTGCGGTTGTATCCAGCGTAGCGTTGATGCGTAATTTTACATTTCGCTGATGCTTTCAAAGTTTGTAAACATGAAAATACAAAAAACAACTAACCCTTGTATCGTCCTTGTGGCACAAGATTGCCAACCAGGGAGTTTCTGTACCACGAAAGCTCAATTTCAAATACTTCTTGAAAGTTCTTTTGAAAGCGTTTCTCAGACAAATATTGAACGTCTGCCGCACTGACAAGTGCGCCACCTGTTGCAAAACACGGAAGGCTTTCAGAGTTATCCCCCCTGAATAATTACAAAATTCAGTTTGGGACCGTTCATAATTTATGGCGGGGTGGGGTGGGGGTGTTGATGATTTGGGGGCACCCAATTTTTTTCTGGGAGCTAGCTGGGGGCAGCAATTTTGTACACACGTACTAGAGAGGGGGGTCAGCAATTTTGTACATACAGTTATGTTTAAAATTATGCTTAGAAATTATGGGAAGGGGAGGGGGTCATTGATTTTGTACATGACATGCAAGGGGTCTTCTCCATGGAATATCATCACCAAAACCACCCCACATTCTCGCGATCAAATTTCTCGCGATCTCGTCCTTTGGGAAACAAGCTAAAAATGCCAAACAAACGGTATATCGAGAAAATGCGAGATCGCGATACACTTACGCATTTTTAATATAATTTCATTTTATGTTTTATCACATCTGCAAAAAAGAACAGATAATGTAATCTCGAACATTTTATCTCACCTTGATAGCTCGTCTTTTGGTTGATTGTACTACACTTTGTCAAAGTCGAGATCGCGAGATTCTCGCGATCTCGCATTCTCGCGATCTCGTGCTGTCAAATCTCGCATTCTCGCAATCTCGACTTGTCAAATATGGCCACAAAAACACGAAATCACTTTTGTCAAAGAGAGATCGCGAGAATGCGACATGCTGTCAAATTCGCATTCTCGCGTCTCGCGATCTCGCGATCTCGCGTTTTAGACGCTGTCGTTGCGCATGCGTAATATCATCTCGCGGTCAAGGCGCATGCGTATCTTAGTAGTGCTGTGGTCATGCTTCTTTCGTGCTTTTCATTTCCCAAGTAGCATTTAGCAAAATTATCACATAGCTTGAAAATGCTATGTAATTTACATACACGATGTGTAGGGTAGTGTATATAAGTCCGCTGCCGTTGTTTCCTACATTGTTTTCCTATGTACTTAAAATCCTCAACGTGTTTAATATAATTTAACAAACGAAATTGTGAATATGAATGTCAATAAAAGTGAAAACATGAAAGTGTCCGGAAGCTGGATATATATTAACGTCAGTGAGTGATAAAATAGTGCTCAAAGCCGCATTAATTCGCAGCTACACCGTCAGTTATACAAATAATCACAGACCAGTGAGTTTCTCCATGATGCAATATCATATACGGCTAGCATATTCATTCAGACAAAATTCTAACAGGCCAATTTGTAGCACTCGGCTAAAATGAGCATGTCTGATGTTTTACTCGACACCATATTCGCTACTTTAATAGATTTTCTTCCGCTCCCGCCTGACTACAAAACATCCTGCTTTATACTATGCTTTTGTCTTCAAGTTCCAAGAAATAGAAAAGCATGTGTATAGCTAATAGTTGTGTTCCTGTGGCAGCCATGATATGGCGGAGTTCCAATGTGTTATTAACCACAGACTACGGGTTATGAGTGAGATATCTGTTTATTTCCATATCGTGGTGGAAGAAGACACCCTGTAATAACGATAATATACACGATATATACAACATAAAATCACATCTGATGAACATGTCATCATAATAAATATAGTGCATAAATGTGCCTATCAAGAGTCATATACCGGTATTACGCGATGCAATATAACACAGGTGACTCACGTGATCACGTGTTTACAGTGATATACAAAATGAGTGTTGACATAGAGACTTATAATAATACATGGTATAATAATGAAATAGACAATAGATACTGTACAAATAACCTATCCTGTGGGTTACACGAGAATGGGTTCGCGAATCCAGCAGCCGAACAGTCATCGCATGCACTAATCCCATATAAGAATCTTTGTCAAGTACATACAATATACATGGTAGATGAGATGTATCAATCTTACATGATACAGAAAATAAACAACTACTAGCCAGCATATTGACAGGACATATAGAAAACTACCATTAGCACATTCATACACGTTAAATGGCATATTGTGTATTGACTTTTATTTGTTATCATGGGAATATTAATACCTATTTTGTGTAATGATTAATATTAGGGTTTAATTTACTATGTATGTTATATTATAATGCATAATAACTAACCTTTGATTCTGACCAAACTGTCACACAGAACTGTACATGAAACACAAAGACACCCGTGAAGGTCCGGGTTAGAAGGTATCTTCAGGAACCCGTGTTTGTCGTAAGAGGCGATTAACGGGATCGGGTGGTCAGGATCGCTGACTTGGTTTACACATATCATCGGTTCCCAATCGCGCAGATCGATGCTCATGATGTTGATCACTGGATTGTCTGGTCCACACTCGATTATTTACATACAGCCGCCATATAAACCAAACTCAATCACTCACTCACTGAAACACAAGGACAAGAGGCAGCTGAACTGACAACTAATTGCAACTTAAATGCATAAAGAATTCGTCGCCTGCGAGACCACTATATCCTGATATAAGATAATGATGATTTGTTATTCATTTACGTACACAATATACAACCACCTAATTCACCCCTCTTACATTCCTACTTTCTTTACTTGATGAACATGCATGATGCATGTGAATCGAATCCTTCTACAGTAAATGTACACAGGTGCCTTAAAAAGTTCGATTAGACAAAAATTAAATGTAAATAAACATACTTCCGACCTCCCATGATTTTTTAGAAATTAATCAAACTCTGTCTATTAATTTATTGCGGCCTTACCTTCACAAGCTCGACATGCTAATATTGGAAATTAACCCCATTCACAGCCCGGGGCACGTGCATTGCTCTAAATAAGTGAGTGAGTTTGGCTTAACACGACTTTCAACAGTATTTATCTTTCAGTTATATCACGGATTATCAGTTCGATGTGGGATGAAACCCACCAGCATAGGTTTTGGCACGCTCAAGGGACGCAACTCTATTGCCACGACTGAGCTACCCGTGATCACAGTTCAAGATGACTGTATAGGTAATTGGTAGAAAAACGCGAGATCGCGAGATCGCGAGATTTGTCAAATGTCGCAATCTCGCGTTCTCGCGTTCTCGTGTTTTTGAAAATCGTTACACAGAACTGTATGGGCAATTGGCACAAAAGCACGAGAACGCGAACGCGAGATCGCGAGATTAGTCAAATGTCGCAATCTCGCGTTCTCGCGTTCTCGTGTTTTGAAAATCTTTACAAAGAACTGTATGGGCAATTTGCAAAAAGCACGAGAACGCGAGATCGCGAGATTTGTCAAATGTCGCAATCTCGCGTTCTCGCGTTCTCGTGTTTTTGAAAATCGTTACATAGAACTGTATGGGCAATTTGCACAAAGCACGAGAACGCGAGAACGCGAGATCGCGAGATTTGTCAAATGTCGCAATCTCGCGTTCTCGTGTTTTTTGAAAATCGTTACATAGAACTGTATGGGCAATTGGCACAAAAAACGAGAACACGAGAACGCGAGATCGCGAGATTTGTCAAATGTCGCAATCTCGCGTTCTCGCGTTCTCGTGTTTTTGAAAATCGTTACACAGAACTGTATGGGCAATTTACACAAAAAGCACGAGAAACGCGAGAACGCGAGATCGCGAGATTTGTCAAATGTCGCAATCTCGCGTTCTCGCGTTCTCGTGTTTTTTGAAAATCGTTACACAGAACTGTATGGGCAATTTGCACAAAAGCACGAGAACGCGAGAACGCGAGATCGCGAGATTTGTCAAATGTCGCAATCTCGCGTTCTCGCGTTCTCGTGTTTTGAAAATCGTTACACAGAACTGTATGGGTAATTGGCACAAAAGCACACGAGAACGCGAGATCGCGAGATTTGTCAAATGTCGCAATCTCGCGTTCTCGCGTTCTCGTGTTTTTGAAAATCGTTACATAGAACTGTATGGGCAATTGGCACAAAAACACGAAACGAGAACGCGAGATCGCGAGATTTGTCAAATGTCGCAATCTCGCGTTCTCGCGTTCTCGTTCTCGTGTTTTTGAAAATCGTTACACAGAACTGTATGGGCAATTTGCACAAAAGCACGAGAACGCGAGAACGCGAGATCGCGAGATTTGTCAAATGTCGCAATCTCGCGTTCTCGCGTTCTCGTGTTTTGAAAATCGTTACACAGAACTGTATGGGCAATTTGCACAAAAAACGAGAACGCGAGAACGCGAGATCGCGAGATTTGTCAAATGTCGCAATCTCGCGTTCTCGCGTTCTCGTGTTTTTTGAAAATCGTTACACAGAACTGTATGGGTAATTGGCACAAAAGCACGATGAACGCGCGAGATCGCGAGATCGCGAAATTTCGTCAAATCTCGCAATCTCGCGTTCTCGTGTTTTTTTTGAAAATCGTTACATAGAACGGTATGGGCAATTGGCACAAAACACGAGAACACGAGAACGCGAGATCGCGACATTTGACAAATCTCGCGATCTCGCGATCTCGCGTTCTCGCGTTCTCGTGCTTTTGTGCCAATTGCCCATACAGTTCTATGCAACGATTTTAAAAGGGGCACTGATCCAGAGGGATTAATGTTTCTCGCCAACAGTCTTATTTCAAATCCTAGCTGCAAGCTGGTCAGTACCTGCTCCCTCGACCGTGACGGACTCGGGCACTGGGCTACTGTCCACCTTGGCAGAATTTCTTCAACATAAACATCGGGACATTAGGAAGTGCGGATGCAAATCAGATGCCGTTATTTGAAGATATACCCGGTAGTTCTTATAAAGTATCCCAGCAGTGTAGGCTTTTCGGATTTTCTAATGCCTGGATTTAATCATTTCATGTAAAAATAGGATGTCTTTTAACAGTGTATGAAATAGTGCACATCCCACCGCCCGAGACGGGCTAGATTTCTGACGGACGGTCTAGATTTACAGCTAGCCAGCCCGATGATCTGGTAAAACTTTTACATGTTCCATACATATCTTGGTGTCTGGTCTGGTTAAATCCATTTTGGGCTGGTAACATTTGGAAGTTACCAGCCCTGATGTCTGGCTGGGTTTTGGGCTTATTTCAGACACTGT